CAACAAAAGAAAAAAGAACCGACAGGCGGGACTATCACCAAACTTAAAAGCTTCTGCACAGCAAAATAAGGCATCAATAAAATGAAAAGGCAATCTATAAAATGGAAGACAATTTTTGTAAACCACATATTTGAGGTTAATATCCAAAATCTACAAAGAACTCAACAATAACAAAGACTCCCAAACAATCCAGCTTAAAAATGAGCAGAGAAAGTAAATAGACCAAAACTGAATTTTTCCAGAGAAGATATCCAAATAACCAACAGGTCCATGAGCAGGTGCTCAATATCACCAATCACCCAGGAAATACAAATCAAAAGCATGATGAGATATTGCCTCACACCTGTAAGAATGGCTAGTATCAAAAAGACGAGATAACAAGTGTTGGTGAGGATGTGAAAAAAAGGGAGCCCTTATGCACTGTTGGTGGGACTGTAAAGTAGCTCAGCCACCGTTAAGAACAGTATGGAGGCTCTTCAAAAAGTTAAAAAGAGTAACTATATGATTCAGCAATCCTACTCATGGGTATACATCCAAAGGAAATGAAAACAGGATATCAAAGAGACATATTCACTCCCATGTTTAGGAAAGCATTATTCACAATAGTCAAGATATGGAATAACCTATGTCCATCAATGGATGCATGAATAAAGTACATATGTTGACCCATGAGAAGAGAGGAAATTAAATTCTACCATTTGCAACAATAGGTGGACCTTAGGATATTATGCTGAGTGAAATAGACAAAGACAGATACTTCATGATTCATATCTCTCATACGTGGAACTAAGAGCTGAAATCATAGAAGCAGAGAGTAAAGTGATGGTTCCTAGGAGTGACAGGGTGAGGGAATGGGAGGGATCCCTTTTAAGGGTACATGCTTGGGACTAGTGAATCAGTCCCAGAGACCTAATACACATTACAGTCACTACAAACAACAAGAGTGTATTATGATTGAATCTGAATTGCTCCCAACGTTAGAAGAAATGAAAATGACAGTTAGGTGACCCGTGGCGGTATTCCCAACTCAGTGATGGCAGTTATGCTGCAATGTAAAGGTATTAAATCAATACACCATAAGCCTTACACTTACCCACAATGTTGTTTGTCCAACATATCTCAATTTTTTAAAGAAAGTTGGCAGATTCTGTTACTCCAGAGAAGACTTAATGTCTCTCAGAATGCTCAAATGGCGTTTCCTGTTGGGAAAGAGCATAAAGATGAGGATTTATTTCATTGACAATTTAGAATGCAATGTATTAACCTTAAAAATAGAACTATTTTTCCTAGCTATTTTCCCAGCAAAACTGGGTTAACCCGTGAATAGCAGAGGACTGACTGCAGGGCAGGGCAAAATTCCAGATGAGTCAGGAGAACTAGGCAGAGGAGGCCTATTTATAAAGGAAAGGGGGCGGGGTGGCTGCTGTAAACAAAGTCCATTGAGTACATCGAGAGTTCAAAGTGTAATGGCTTTTCATTGGCTGGGCTGTGGCAGTGTCTCATTGGCTGGACTGTTGCTGGTGGAGGAAGAAACTTTCCTTCCTCCTGCTGGGACAGTAAAGTGGTTGCTAAGGTAACATCCAGGTGCAGGTGCATCTCCTCCCAGTTGCATCTGCAGGTGACCGGGAATGGTAGGGCCTGGAGCTCCCCTGCCTGCCTGCAGACTCCATTCTAAACCACCTTTGGTTACATAGTATTTTATTTTTAAATTCCTGAAATTTGAAAACAAGACCACCTAAGTTAAATAATATAGTTTTCCAAAGCTGTACAATTTCAAGCTCAGTGTTTCTCCTTGAAATGCAAAAACAACTTCCTAAAACTAGACAAGAGCACCACTACCCTGATGATGTGATTAGATCTGTGATCAATCACAATTTGTAGTTTCCCTTTTTATCCCCGTTAAGAGTTTAAAAAATTCTAGAATGGTGCATTTCTTCTTTCTTCTTTCTTCTTCTTCTTCTTCTTCTTATTATTATTATTATTATTATTATTATTATTATTACTGTCTTTTTATTTCCAGGTAAGCTCTCTACTGTTTAGTGTTCTCTGAGATATTTTATTTAAATTCAATTATTTAACATATAGTGTATTATTATTTTCAGAGATGGAGTTCAGTGATTCATCAGTCTTATATAACACCCAGTGCTCGTGACATCATGTGCCCTCTTTCATGTCCATCACCCAGTACCCTGTCCCCCCACTCCCCTCTCCTCCAGTGACCCTTAGTTTGTTTCTTGTGGTTAAGAGTCTCTTATAGTGGACACCTGGGTAGCCCAGTCCATGAAGCATCTGCCTTCGACTCAGATAATGATCCCAGGGTCCTGGGATTGAGCCCCACGTGGGGCTCCCTGCTCAGAGGGGCATCTGCTTCTCCCTCTCCCTGTCACTCCTCTGCTTGTGCGCACACACACACTCAAATAAATAAATAAAATCTTTAAAAAAAGAGTCTCTTGTGGTTGGCCTCCCTCTCTGATTTCCTCATGTTTTATTTTTCCTTCCCTTCCCCTATACTCTGTTTCTTGGATGCCACATGAGTGAGATCATATAATTGTCTTTTCCTGATTGATTTATTTCGCTTAGCATAATATCCTCTTGTTCCACCCATGTTTTGCAAATGGTAAGATTTCATTGCTTTTGATGGCCGAGTAAGAGTCCCTTGTATATATATATACCACATCTTCTTTATCCAGTCATCTGTTGATGGACATCTGGCTCTTTTCATAGTTTGGCTATTGTGAATATTGTTGCTATAAACTTTGGGGTGCAGGTGCCCCTTCGGATCACTACATTTGTAACTTTGTGGTAAATACCCAGTAGTGCAATTGCTGGGTCATAGAGTAGCTCTACTTTTAACTTCTTGAGAAACCTGTTTTCCAGAGCAGCTGGATCAGCTTGCATTCTCACCAGCAGGGCAAGAGGGTTCCCTTTTCTCTGCATCCTTGCCAACATCTATCCTTTCCTGACTTGCTCATTTTAGCCATTCTGACTGGTGTGAGGTGGTATCTATCTTATTGTGGTTTTGGTTTGCATTTCCCTGATGCCGAGTGATGTTGAGCATTTTTTTTTCATGTGTCTGTTGACCACTTGTATGTCTTCTTTGGAGAAATGTCTGTTCAGGTCTTCTGCCCATTTCATATCTGGATTATTTGTCCTTTGGGTGTTGAGTTTGGTAAATTCTTTATAGATTTTGGATACTAGTCCTTTATCTGATAAGACATTTGCAAATATATTCTCTCATAGAATGGTGCATTTTTCTAATCTTACACCAATTTGTTTTTAAAAAAATATTTATTGGGACGCCTGGGTGGCTCAGTGATTGAGCATCTGCCTTCAGCCCAGGACGTGATCCTGGGGTCCCGGGATCATGTCCCACATAGGACTCCCTGCATGGAGCCTGCTTCTCCCTCTGCCTGTGTCTCTGCCTCTCTCTCTCTCTCTCTCTCCGTCTCTCATGAATAAATAAAATCTTTAAAAAAATAAAAATTTAAAAATATTCGAGAGGGAGTGTGTGTTCACTTGCGTACAAGTGGGGGGAGGGGCAGAGGGAGGAAGAGAATCCCAAGCAGATTCCCTGCTGAGTACAGAGCCCCAAGAAGGGCTCAATCTCACAATCCTGAGATCATGACCTGAGTCAAAAATCAAGAGTCCCACACTTAATGGATTGAGCCACCCAGGCACCCCTAGTCTTATACCAATTTCATTCCTGATGTCTCCTGAGATGCATATACCATACGCAGGAACCTATCTTCCTCCTTCTCACTTTCACACACTTCAGAAATCTGCATTGACATGTTGCATCTATTCACCAATGGGGAGAAGGCTTGAGTAGTATGGAGCCATAAGCACCTTCTGATTATCCTGATGAATTCACTCACGTTGATGCAACTAGGTACCAGGAACTTGATTGATCTGGGACAGGAAGCTGCTTCTCACCCCAGTATGACATGGGGGGCAGTTGGACGGGCCAGAGGGTCATGGTGGCTCCCGCTCCAATAACAGCCTCCTTTGTGTGGTGTTAGGTTTGGGGTTGTTTTTATTTTTTTTCCCAACACTAAGCTTAAGTTTGAAGAATTGAAGTTTGAAGAAAATTGTTTCAAGAATGAGTGTGAAATACGAGAAATGGTTTAATTTGAAAACCTCATTAATGAAACCTAATTCCATTTCTATTTAAAAGGGGGAATAAAAGTATCAGTCATTTTGAAAGGATAAAATGTGAAATGACTAAAAAGGAACTAGAGTTCCGTGCTGGATGCCAGGGCCATGAGCCACTGGTGCGGAGAGCACATGGCCCTTCTTCTATTTTGGGAGATTCTTGCCTGAAAACCAGTTAGAAAAACTCTGCCTTTCCTTCCCTGATAGGAAGCCTAAGGTTCTATTAGTACTCCAGCAGCTGCTACTCTGCGGTGATGCAGCCCAATGGAAAGTAGTTGGCTGACACTTATGGTGGCCATCTGCAGATGTCTTGGACCACCAAGGGCCACCACCACGAGGGTCACTGCCTCCAGGGGCCACCACCACGAGGGTCACTCCTCCCAGAGGCCACCAGCACGTGGGTCACCTCCCCCCTGGGCCACCGCCATCAAGGCCACTGTCCGGAGAGGCCGCCTCGGGGAACATGTCCGCCCCCACAGCGGCGTCCCTCGTCAGTCCTCGGCTACTACCCCACTCCACCCCCCAGCCCCCAGCCCCCAGCCCCCAGCCCTGGGGTTGCTCTGAACCGCCCGCGCTCAGATGCAGGGACCTGGGCGAGCTTCCCGGCAGCAGAGCCCGTCCTTCCCCGCAGCGAGTTCAAGGAGGAAACCGCCCAGCGGGCTTCCCGCTGATTGGCTGAACGAGAGGCAGGCCAGAGGTGATTGGTCGGGCCGGACGCCTCTCCGCGCGCACACCGCGGCCCCGCCTTCTTCCGCAGCCACTGCCTGGTGGGCAGACGCGATTGGAACAGACGCGCCGGCCAGGCCCGGCCCGGCCCGCCTCCGCCCCGCCCCCGCCGGAGGGCGCGACGTCACTACCCGGCGTGCCGCGCGCGGCGCTTCCCCCACCCACTAATGTTTTGGCCGATTCAAGATGGCGGTGCAGGAGTCAGCTGCTCAGCTCTCCATGACCCTGAAGGTGCAGGAGTACCCGACCCTCAAGGTGGGGTCTGCGGGCCGGGGGGGCGGCCGCGCTTGGCCAGTGCCCGCGGACCGCGGGGGGAACAAGGGGAGGGAGGGGGGCAGGGTGGGGCCTGGGGCACCGGGCGGGGTCTGGGGGGGTCTGCGGGACGGCCTCCCGGGTCTAGAGGGCCTTGGGGTGTCTTCGGGGCGGGCTCCCGAGTTCCGCGGGCTGCAGGGTTCGGCAGGGCCGCGCTCCCCAGAGTCTGAGGGGCTGCAGAGCCGGCTTGCCCAGGGTCTGGGGGTCTGCGGGCCGGCATCCCCGGGTCCGGGGGGCTGTGAGGCCGGCCGGCCTGCGGGGCTCCCCGGCGGCGGCGGGGCTCAGGGGGCCGGAGCCTGCGGGCCGGGCGGGTGTGGCGGGGGGGCCGTCCATGGCCTGCCCGGCCTTCGAGGACTTCGTGGCAGGGCGTGGAGCGCGTCTGGCGCCCCGCTTCGCCCTGCGGAGCCCGATTGTGGCCCCTTAAACCTTAAAAAAAAAAAAAAAAAAGGCACGAAGTGTCCCGCGTGAGTGACATTTCTGGCGGTAGCCAGACTGGTGACGGGGGCTGGGTGGAGGCCGGGGTTTCCAGGGAGCGGGGTCGCGGCGCCTAGCAAGCGTGCCGACGAGATTCGGGGCTGTGTCCAGCTGTCCCCCCGGAAGCTCACGTCAGCAGGTGTGGATGAGCTGGCTGCTAGGCTCTAATTAGGGAACCTGTGAGGAGGGACCTAACGACCTCATTGGGAACCCGTCTCGTGGAGCAATAACAAACCTGAAATACAGCCCTTGCCACTGGGTTACCAGCTGCGTGACCTTGGGTGGCCTCTAGGCCAAGCCTTGAGTTAGCATGAGCATGAAGTATGTGTGTCTAGTAGTAGGGCACGCACTTGCTCCCCACCTGGTTAGCAGAGGATTTGATGGTGATGAGAACAAAGCACCTGGAAGCGAGGTCCTTAGGAGATCAAGGTCGTAGCATTCCCAAGAGAACCATGACTTCCTTCTTCTCCTGGAAGACCCGGGCATCCCTATCCAGCTTACTGCTGACAGGTGGTGGTGGGTGAGGTGGGGTGGGGCTGCTGTGAGCACTTGGCTCCTCTGCCAGGGTCTGAAGACCACCCCGCTGTGTTCATGGCTTCCTGGGATACCTCCGGCAGGGTGCTTACCTGCTCTGAGATTGCTGACTCCTGTCCAGTGGGGATTGTAGCACCCATGCCACCTTGGGTGAGCTGAGGGAGTCCATGCTGCCTGGAGCAGTGCTGGCCCTCTTTACAAGATGCCAATACAGTGGTCACCGGGAAGCAGAAGTGAAGCTGCTGCTTTTCACTGACCAGCGGTCGAGCAGTGCTGTGTTCCGTGCCTTGTCTGACCAGGGAGGGCAGGGCACCCCTGCTGACAGGTACCAGATGCCTCTTCTCTGGGCCCTTTCAGGAGTAGGTGGTTGGCCCTTTTATATTCAACTCATTGAAGACCCTGTGGCTCAGAGAAACCATGACATCATGCCACCTGAGGCCCCCAATGAAACATCCTTTGGATTGATGTTTATGCCTCCTCCCCCACAACAAAAAATTAAATAAATAAGTAGGAGGCTTTCGTGGCAGAGCCGTTAATTTCTAACCTGTTGTCTTAGCCCACCACCAGGCCTGTCGCTAGAACTGACGGAACAGTGGCAGTTCATCATTTCTGGTACTGGCTGATATGTGTGGGCAACGTCAGACAGAAAGGGATTCCCCCTCCCAAATTCTCTTCTGTGATTTCAAAATCCTGAATGTGATTGATTTCCAGAGTTATCAAATAGCCTCTGATTAAAAGTCATCCTGTAGATACTTAGGTAGGTAAAGAAATACTAGTGTCAGGTCAGGTGAGCTTGCCAGGTTAGACAGTTTTACTTCTGCTTTAGAATTATTCAAACAAATGTTTGACATCAGAGTAGCTACTTCCGACACTTTCCCTCACAGATTATCTAGATCATCTGTAATCCATTGATACATGTGTCACTGTTGAGAGCTAACATTTTCTTCTAGATGTTTTCAGGAGTGATTCCTCATGGATAATGAGGAAGTTTCACTGAGAAACTAGGGATCCTTGACTCAGGAGTGTAAATTAATACAGAGATCTCCAGAACACTTAGATGAGCCATGCTGGGCATAGTCTAGAGTGAGGTCCAGATACAGATGCCTTGGTAGCAGGGCCACTATACGGATATCAGGGAGAAGGGAGTGGGGGTCAAGGGGCTAGAGTGCTGGGAGGTGTATCAAGCGCACTCGCCTGCAGGGTAATGAGCCCAGTCCTCATTGCCTTCTTGTCACGATGGAGATTCCTTGTTCTTGAGAGGATTGGCACATCGGGCAGGTTCCTCATAGCCCCAGAGCTTCTGGGGGGCTCTGGGTACCTGGTGGGCCCTGGTCTTGGTCTTACCTCCTGACATGGTGGGAAGAGGATGGCACAGCTGTGAGACACTGCTGCCCACAGGGGCTGAGCTGGGCACCTTCTCACTGAGCCCTCCATTCTGGGGCCAGGTGGACCAACACAGGTCTCAATCCCTGTGGTCCTTCAGGCTGGGTGATTCTTTGTAGCGGGGGCTGCGTATTATAGGATATTTAGTAGCACCCCTGGCTTCTGCCCACCAGATACCAGTAGCACACCCCTGGATGTCTCCAGACATTGCCAGATGTCCCCTGGGGGACAAAATCACCCTAGTGAGAACCACTGGACTGGATTTTGCTTTGTGGAACTTGTTTTTATGTTCTTACAATAGCGGGGAGAGGAGGGCTCTTGGGACACACCTTTGTGTCCTGGGCCTGGCTATGAGTCTTCACCTGTGACCTTGAACTGTGGTGTCTTTTTTTAATAAAAGTAACTTCTGTCTACTTTCCAAATTATTCTGCTAATTATCCTGTTAATATTTTGGTGTATTGACTTCTGTTTTTTCCCCTTCAGAGAGCTGAAGTAAAATCGTATTTTAGAGACCTTTACTGCTACCCAAATCAGGTGGGGGTCTTCCCAGCCCAGGAGAAAGGAATGGTCTGGCATTGGTCCCTGGGAGACCTGGCTCTGGACTCTGACTCCTCCCCTTAGACTCCCCTGTGCCTATCTCTGTGCTCACCTGGGGCCTCCCTGGGCCTGTCGGTCCTCCCAGCCAGGTGGGCCCTAGCCTGACCCAGCTCAGACCCCATCCCAGCTGCCCTCTTCCTCACACATGATGGGCTGGGGAGCAGAGGCATTGCTCTTAGCTGGGTCTGTGGGCGGACCCCACATTCTGCTGTGTCTCTGAACTCTGTATAGGATTGTTGAAATGTTCTGCTTTTAATTTGGTGACAGTCTTGTTGACCAAATCCTGGTCTGCAGTTTCAAAGCCTGGGTCTGTGCCTGTTGTAGAAAGTCTGGGTGCCAATTATATGCCTTAAGTTATAACTTTCGGTGCACTTTTCCACTTGGTCTTGGCTGGATTTAGGGCATCATGTGTTCTCAAGTTTGAGGAACAGCCGTAAACATAAGCACTTGGTCTTAAGAGACAAATATCCTGAGTCTAAGAGGGTGGCAGGAACCTGGGTAACTTCTTTTTACTTTAGGTTTTTTTGTTTACAGAGAGTGAGCCATTCCGTCTCTCAGAGGTGGTTGTATTTCTTCAAGGATGCAGGGGCAGGCACCTAAGCATGATTCTCTTCCTCTTCTCAGGCTCTAGAGCGCTGTCTGCTCTTACCCAAAAGAGTCTCCGAATCCTGCCAGAGCGAGAGCATGGTTGAAATGCCGTCTTACCCTCTGTGTCCTCTTGACCTTCTTGTCTCCCACGTGACTGCTCAGGTCATTTTTTTTTTTTTATGATAGTCACACAGAGAGAGAGAGAGAGAGAGAGAGAGAGAGGAGGCAGGCTCCATGCACCGGGAGCCCGACGTGGGATTCTATCCCGGGTCTCCAGGATCGCGCCCTGGGCCAAAGGCAGGCGCCAAACCGCTGCGCCACCCAGGGATCCCCTGCTCAGGTCATTGACCACAGAGGAGACACTGGGTGGTGTGGGCCTTCAGGGACAGGGGCGGATCCATGTCAGGGTGGGCTGCTTGTGTTTGTGTTCTTTTAAACAAGCTTCAGGCCAGGAAAGGGAGAGCTTCCCAATGCCCCGCTCTCTGTAGCAGCGGGGGGAAGCTAGAGGCATTTCAGACCCCAGCCGCAGTGGGGAGGGGCAGCTGTGCCTCAGATGTTTAGCATTAGGTCTGAAGGTGGTACTTGGGGGTGCTTCTCTGTCACAGAGCCACACCACCAGGCACCCAGAGCTGAGGCACCATGCCCTGAAGGCCTTGCTGCTCCTGAAGAACCTCTGCAGGCTGGCCACTCCTGGCACCCCTAGGCCTGGCAGGAGGGAGGCATTAAGTGGACGAAAGTGTTTTCAATCCTTGAATGAGCAGAGTCAGGCATGCATGGGACAGTGGGAGGGCTGGGAGCCTGTGGGGGGTGTGATAGTCTTCCGTGGGTGACCAGGGCCCTTGCATTTTGGGGTAAAGGTCTGTGGGCGATGTGTAAGTCTGGGCAGACCCTGCTTCCGTTGGAGCGATAGGACTCAGGGTGTTCCAGAGCCGCACAGAGGTTGTGACCATGGAACCCTGAGGCTGGGACCCTGCCATGGACCATGGGTGTGTGTCAGCCGAATCAGGGATCTAGCTGGCATGAGGCCTGAGCACCAGAAGAAGGAAGGAGTCTGGCTGGTGTGCGCGGCATGTGCCCCCCTCAGTATGGCTGCTCCGTACTCCTCCTGTGTCTCTGAATTTTCTACGGGATTGTTGAAATGAGGGGGACTGCTTGATGCTGGTATGTCTGCCAGGGCACCTGTCAGGTTTCTCCAGGTGTGTGTTGTTTAGAATTGGGGACCATTAGTTGGAAAGCTTTCTGAAAAAAAGATTCACTGTTTCAATAACAACTGATGGAAACTAAACATTATTAAATAGTTTAACACCCATACTATTCTGCTGAATGTGGTTAATGAGAACAACACCCACCTGTGCTGACAGTCTGCTGACCGTCACCTCCTGACTACGAACCCCAAGTGCTGCACGGCCCCCATGTCCTGCCTGCGCCTCCCAGCCCACACAGCACCACACCTCACCCACGTGTTACTCGGGACAGCTACCGCCCTCCTCGTGTCTGCCCACAGCTTCTGGGGGAGCTGTCTCACCTTGCATGTGCCTCCAGCACTTGCATGTCTTCCCTCCTGCCTCAGTTTCCCTTCTTGCTGGGTTTTATCAGTGTGCACATGGCTCTGATTGCCCTATGCCTCCAGTTGCTGCCACCTTTCCCTGGGCCCTCCTCCCATGTATCTCTCCTGGTCCAAGTTTAACATTTTGCCCTAACGTTCCATGAAAATGTGTTTGTCAAGGTCACAGTCACCTTGACACTGCAAAGTGGCCAGTTGCTGGGCAGTCGCCTCTTTCACTTGCCCCCCTGCTGACATTCTCTGTCTTTCTCTTAGGGCTGGTCTTCCTCAGACCCCTTTACTGCCACTTTGCATCCTCTAGCCTGGGGGTCGCTGTCTTTCATGGCGGCAGCCAGCCCTGGAGAAGTGTCTGTGTTCTGGCCTCCAACTGCTGCCTCCAGCCAGGCCCTCCATTGTTGGCCAGCTGCTGGGTGTCTTCACACCTCTGGGCAGGGAATGGGAGATACTGCGTGTGAAACCCAGCGGCTCCTGACCTTGGCCTTCCTGCCCCAAACCTAGGTGTTCCTGGCACAAGCCAGCCCCATCCCAGGTGAAAATAGTGTCGTCTTGCCACTTGTTCAGGGTTGTTAAAAAACCCTGGAAGTGTTTCTGACGCCTGTTTCCTGCATTCTTCCTGTGATCTGTGATTTCCTTGTTGGTCCACGTTGCCTGTGGGGCTCCAGTCCTATTGCGGGCACATGAACGAGGGAGGGGAAGGGGGAAGGTGCCAGCTCCCTCCACGAGGCCTCCCAGAAGTGCTATTCAGCATTTATGCTTCAGCTCAGAGGTCAGAGCTTGTGGTTGGCTATATCTAGCTTCAAAGGGACTTTAAACAGCCTGGTGGTGGGCTTATTGCTGCCCTGGCCCTGAGTAAGATGGGGTTTGTTATTCCTGCTGTGCTCTGTCCCTTCCTCTATTTTATTTTCTTTACAGCTTTAATCAGAGTTGGAGGAACTGCCTCTGGTCTGTTTGTTTGCTTTTCTGTCAGAGGCCCACCTTAGACTCCGTGCTCCTCAGGACAGGGAGCCGTGTTCTGCTTCTTCCCTCCCTGACAGTGCTTTGGCCAGGTCTCCAGTAATCCTTATGGTGTCTTGCGGTGAGCACCCACTGATGGCCCCTCCTCCCTGACACAGAGTCAGGGCAGGCCAGGTTCCTCCTCAGTGTGACCACTCAGTGTATTGGTGATCTTGTGTGGTCTCGTGCTTTGAGCACCCTCTGTGCATACCAGTGACTCCCAAATGGTGAGCTCCCCAACCACAGAGTGCAGATCCAGTAACCTCGTTTGCATCTCTGTGAGGTAGCTCAGCATATGTAGATCTGAACTTCTTAACTTACCTGCCCCCTTCTCAAATCTCCTCACCATTTTCCTTGTATCAGGTAAAAGCCTTGACTCCTCTGTCCTCACAGCTTGCATCCATACGTGCTTCCCCTCTAGCTCCAGCATGTGCTCAGAATTTGCGTCTAACCTTCTTTCTTCCTGCCACCACACCCACAGCCACCATCTCTTTTTGGGTTAAAGTAGGCTCGTCTAGTCTCAGTTCTGCCCAGCACAGCCGCCATGTCACTGTACCAGACAATGCCACTATCCTGTCCTTGTAGCTTCCTGTTTTACTTGGGGTATAGAACAAGAACCCTGTGACTTGACCCCTGCCATCTCTTCCTCTTCTTCCTCCACCTCCACTCCCCTTGGGCACTTAACCTTGGTGGCTTCCTTGCTGCTGGAAGGTGTGCTGGCAAGGCAAGCTCTCAGATCCTTTGGACTTGTTTACTTTGCCTACTTTGCCTGCAGCCTGGAATCCTCTTCCTCCAGGTGTTCATCTATCTTAACCCCTCACCTTCTGGGATCTTTGCTCAGGTATCACCGTCTCAGAAAGATCACCTTATTTAAACTGGGAATCCTGCTCTATTTTTCTCCTTAGCTATTAACTGTCATCGTATTTTGCTTCTTTGTTTCTAACCCCGGGAATTGTAAGCTTTGTGGAGGGCAGAGAGGAGATAATTCTTCAGTGAACAAATGAACTATTAATTATTTTGGTGGGGGATCCCTGGGTGGCTCAGCGGTCTAGCACCTGCCTTTGGCCCAGGGTGTGATCCTGGAGTCCCAGGATCGAGTCCCACATTGGGCTCCCTGCATGGAGTCTGCTTCTCCCTCTGCCTATGTCTCTGCCCCCCTCTCTCTTTCCCTGTATCTCTCATGAAAAAATAAAAATCTTTTTAAAAAATAATAAAAAATAAATATTATTTTGGCAATTCTGTCCAAAGAAGTAAAAATAGAAACAGAAGTAAATGTAACTTCGAATGGATGAGACAGTTTGTTTTTGTACCCAGAGAACACAAATTGGAAAACTACTACAATTAATGAGAAAGTTCAGCACAGTAACTGGGGACATGAAAAATATACAAAGATCATCACTTTTCTGTCAGCAATAACCAGTCAAAGCACCTCGAGGGAACATACCCATTCACGATAACCTAACAGCAACAGAAATAAAATACCAAGGTAAGCTTTACAGGATAGTGTGACAAACACTGAAGGAGACACAACATGGTTTCTTAGTAAAAGGCGTAAAGGGGGACCAGCGTCAGCAGAGAGGGTTGTGTCTGTCTGAACCTACTGATGATGGGAGATACCATCTGACATTTTTTGTGCTTGATAACATACTTTTTTAAAAAAAGATTTTATTTATTTATTCATGAGAGACACAGAGAGGCAGAGACATAGGCAGAGGGAGAAGCAGGCTCTATGCAGGGAGCCCGATGTGGGACTGTGGGATCATGCCCTGAGCCAAAGGCAGATGCTCAACCGCTGAGCCACCCAGGTGTCCCATTGATCACATATTTCTTATTTGTAATCAGGGAAGCAGCAAGAAGGGTGGGGCCCTGCCTGACGCAAGAGACAGAAGTCCTGCCTCCAGCCATACATCATAGCCAAACAGTAAAGAAGCCTGCTTTGCTAGTGTTAACGTATACAGGTCGGTACTGGTGCCTATTTGCAGTTGGTGTGTTGTATTTGGGCAGTGAGCCCGTCCCAAGACATGAGGGCACTTGACTACATGGAGGCATTGCCCTGGTGCTCCCACCATGCTCATTTATGTTGCTGGTACTACGCTGCGTTGTATGCGTGCTGGGTGACTCAGATTTGCAGCTCGTATTGCTTTACTCATACCTCCTTTTCTAAAACAGACCAGTAGCATGGAAAGATTTTTGCAAGTACCCAGTGGATGGCAGTTGAGACAGTCCTGCACCGAGGGAAGAGGGCAGTGCTCTTCCCGCCTCAAGCTCTGTCAGCCACATTGTCAAGTGAAAGGTCTTTCTCTTCACAGCCCCCTAGAAGCTGACCAGAAATGTTATTTTTTCAAGAAGCCTATTTGAAACTGCATGAGCTTCCCTCAGGGTATGTGCTGTGTTTGAGAGATAAGCCCAGGAAACAGGAAGGCACTGTGATTTGGGAGACTGTCCCATGTCACACACAGGAACATGAGGCAGAACTCTCCAGGACATAGATGTCTACTGCCACTCAGGGCTCAATCTGACATATTAGAAGATGTTACTAGCCTTGTGATAAATAGTTAGAAACCTCTTCTGGAGGTTTCCTCTTTGTGAAAGATAAAAAGCCCCATGAAGTTGGGGAAATACTTCCTTCCTGCTGGTAAAAATGGCTGAAAACATTATGATGACAAACTGAGATGCATTTCTTTGTCAGCAAATACTGTCAGAAAACCCACAGCAAACATTGGAGAAGGTTTGAAGAAACACATACTAAAGCAAATGACACAGTGTAGGAGGATTGCTATAGAGCTGGGTGAAAGTACAGATGTTTTATACAAATCTTAACTTATGGTGTTTGCCAGATTGGGTTTCAATTATGAAAACAGGAAGGATTACTTTTTATGAGTCACTGAAGGGAAAGATGTACTGAAGGAAATAGAATTTAACATCAGCTAACTACCAGAGAAATCTTGTGATCTTAAAAGCTACAATATAACAAATTACCGAGGAAAAATTGAGTAGATTTGATTAATACAAGTTTAAATCTTTGGTGTACCCAGATAAAATAGAACCAGAATTTGAAAGCAAATAACAATTTTAAAAAGCCACCAAATATGAATAAAAATAAAAGAGCTACTTCACATTGATGAGAAAGATCCAAGACCTCTCTTCCTTGCTGAGTGTTGGACAAGGAGCACAAAGGGAAAATTTATTGGATTAAACCATGTAAAATTGTTATTTTGTGGGTTAAAAGACAATGGCTGAATAGGCTTATACATGTAAAGAGATTAGGGGGGGAAAAAAAGCTTTCCATAAAGAAAAGCCCAGGATCAAGCTGCTTCACTGGTGAATTCTAGTAAATGTTTAAAGAAGAATTAGCACTGATCCTTAACAGACTCTTCCAAAAAATAGGAGAGAGAGGAACATTTCCCAACTCATTCTGTGAGGTATTACCCTTATAACAAAACCAGACAGTTATCCAAGAAAATTGCAGACCAGTATTCCATATGAATGAATATAGGTGTTAAAATCCTCAATAATGTGCTAGCAAACTACCTGACAACATATGAAAAGGATTATGTACCATGACTAAATGGGATTTACCCCAGGAATGCAAGGTCAGTTCAACATGCAAAAAGCAATGTTTATACGTACACCACATTTTTAAGCAATGTTTATATTTATACCACAATAGTATAAAGGACAAAAGCTACATGATCATCTTAATAGACACAAACAACAACAACACTTGACAGAATCCAACACTTTTTCATGATAGAAACATTCAACAACTAGGAAAAGGAGAGAACTTCCTCAACCTGATAAAGAACACCTTTGCAAAAACCACAGTTAACATCATGCTTAGTGGTAAAAGACTAACTTTTCCCCTGAAAGAAAGAGGCAAGGATGTCCATTCTGGCCACTTCTAATTCAGCATTTTCTTGGAGATTGTAATCAGGGCAGTTAGGCAAGAAAAAGAAGTAACAGACGTTCAGATTGGAAAGGAAGAAATAAAACTCTATTTTCAGATGTGATCTTATCTATGAAAAGTCCTAAGTAATATACACACATACAAACAGAACTTATTAGAACTAGAACTAATAAACTAGTTCAGCCATGTTGCAGGATACAAGATAAGTATATAAAAATAAATTTTAGGGCAGCCTGGGTGGCTCAGCAGTTTAGTGCCGCCTTCGGCCCAGGGCATAATCCTGTAGACCCGGGATTGAGTCCCACGTCAGGCTCCCTGCATGGAGCCTGCTTCTCCCTCTGCTTGTGTCTCTTTCTCTCTCTCTCTGTGTCTCATGAATAAATAAATAAAATCTTAAAAATAAATTAAGTTTTAGAAGACAAATCATGAGAGACTCCTAACTCTGAGAAACAAACAAAGGGTTGCAGGAGGGGAGGTGGGTGGGGAATGGGGTAACTGGGTGACGGGCATTAAGAAGGGCACATGATGAGATGAGCGCTGGGTGTTATGTTGGCAAATTGAACGTAAGTAAAATTTTAAAAAATAAATAAAAATAAGTTGTAGTTTTATACCCTAGATATGAACAATCGAGAAGGAATGAAGAAAAAATTTTATTTATAATAGCATGAAAAGTAATAAAATATTTAGAAATAATCGACTTTTTGTTTGGGTTGAATCTGTAGATCAATTTATTGCTACCTTAAATACTAGCTGGCTCTTTTGCAGAAATTAAGAAGCAGAGGGATGCCTGGGTGGCTCAGCAGTTGAGCATCTGCCTTCAACTCAGGGCACGATCCCAGGATCCAGGATCAAGTCCCACGTCGGGGTCCCTGTGAGGAGCCTGCTTCTCCCTCACCCTGTGTCTCTGCCTCTCTCTCTGTGTGTCTCTCATGAATAAATAAATAAAATATTTAAAAAAGAAATAAAGGGCAGCCCTGGTGGCGCAGCGGTTTACCGCCGCCTGCAGCCCAGGGCATGATCCTGGAGACCCTGGATCAAGTCCCACGTTGGGCTCTCTGCATGGAGCCTGCTTCTCCCTCTGCCTGTGTCTCTGCCTCTCATTCTCTCTCTGGGTCTCTATGAATAAATAAATAAAATCTTGAGAAAGAAAGAGAGAGAAAGAAAGAAAAGAAAGGAAAGGAAAAGGGGAAGGGAAAGGAAAGGGAAAGGAAAGGAAAAAAGAAAAGAAAAAAGGAAAGGAAAGGAAAAGGAAAAGGAAGCCAGTCCTAAAATTCACATGAAATGCAAGGGATCCAGAATAGCCAAAATAACCGTCTGAGACCAGTCAGGCTGCTATAACAAAATACCGTAGACCAGAGTGACTTAGACAACAGACATTTATTTCTTGCGTTTCTGGAGTCCAAGAGGGCCAAGACCAGGGTGCTAACAGATTTGGTTCCTGGAGACCCTCTTTGGTTTGCAGATGGCTGCCTTCTTGCTCGTCTTTTCCTCTTATGAGAACATTGATCCCATTATGGAGTCCCCACACTTGTGATGTCATCTAAAGCTAATTAGTGTTTCAAATGCCCCAACTCCAGATACCATCACATTGGGGATTAGGGCTTCAACATGAATTTTTGGGGTACCCAAACATTCAAACAGTAACAATCTTAAAAAAGAACAAAGTTGTAGGAGTCCTATTTCCTGGTTTCAAAACTTATTACAAACTATACTTCTTGATTACTGGTTGAAAGGCTAAAGATCAGTGGGCTAGAACTGAGAGTCCAGACATGAGCCCATACATAATTCTCAATAAGGGTACCAGGACAGTTACATAGGGAAGGGAGAGGCTTTTCAACACATAGTTCCAAGACAACTGGATATCCACATGCAAAAGAATGAAGTTAAGTCCTTCCTTCACACCGTATACAAGCATTAAGTCAAAATGAATCAGTTAAATGTAAGAGCTAAGATTCTTAGGTATAACACCTAAAGCAGGAAACAAAATTGTAGGTTGGATTTCAGAAGTGAAAAGCTTGTGCTTCCAAGGACAGAATGGAGAGAAATATTTGCATGTCACATCTGATAAGAATCTAGTAATATCCAGAATCTAATCTGATAAGAATCTAGTAATATCCAGAATCTACTAATCTACTTCAACAATGTGAAGACAACCCTATTTAAAAATGAGCAAATGATTTGAATAGACTTTTCCAGAGAAGATATATAAATGGCTAATAAGCATATGAGAAAATACTCAACATTATTATTCATTAATGAAATTCAAATCGAAAACCACAACTGGGATCTAATCCTGCATCAGGCTCCCTGCTCCAGGGAGCCTGCTTCTCCCTCTCCCTCCACCTGCCACTCCTGAGTGTTCATGCTTTCTGTCAAACAAATAGAAAATCTTTAAAAAAAGGGGGGGGGAATGAAATACACATTACATTGTGGCTGAACCATGAAAACACTATGTTAAGTTTAGAATGACAGACGAAACACCATAGAATGTATGACTCCATTTGTATGAAATGTCTACACTGGGCAGATTCGTATAGGTAGGAAGTAGATTATTAGTGGTTGGTTGCCTGGCTGTGGGAAGGACTTCCATAGGTACAGGATTTCTCTTTGAGTTGATGAAACATTCTGGAAATATTTTCTGGTGGTAGTTGTACAACCTTGTGAGTATATTGAAAACTACTAACTTGTACACTTTAAGAGGATGAATATTATGGTATCTGAGTTATATCTCAATTAAAACCTGGTAAAATAATGATGGCCTAACAGCAGTTTTGTACAATTCAACTTAACAGACAAAGAGCACTCATGCAGGGACGCCTGGGTGGCTCAATTGATTAAGCGTCTGACTCCTGATCTCAGGGTTGTGAGTTTAAATCCATGCTCATCGGGGAGCCTACATAAGAAGAAAAAAAGTGCTCATGCACAGTGCTGGCCGGCCTTGGGCAGGTGTCCATGACCTGCAACTCTGCATACATGTGGAGTTAGCTTTTAGGATAAATCCACATAATTCAAATAGCCAGGTCAGAGGTTAGGCACAGTTTTGATGACTGCTGTCAAATTCCCCTCCATCCTTCACACACTCCCTGCCAGCCGGGTATGGGGCTCAAGTTGCCCCCAGAGCCCAGCGTAGGTTTTCTGCAGCTACACTATCCAGTACCAGTAGTACTAAGCCCCATGTGGCTGTTAAGTGTTTGAAATGTTGCTCATCCAGGGGCATCTGGGTGGCTCAGCAGCTGAGCCTCTGCCTTTGGCTCAGGTCGTGATCCTGGGGTCCTGGGATCGAGTCTCACATCAGGCTCCCCACAGGGAGCCTGCCTCTCCCCCTGCCTGTGTCTCTTTCTCTGTGTCTTTCATGAAAAAATAAAATCTTTTTAAAAAAAATACTGCTGGTCCAAATATGTGTTCTAAGTTTAAAATAAAGTGCACACTAGTTTTTAAAGATTTAGCACAAAGAGAAAAAATAATGTATCTAATAAATGAAATACTTGGGAGTGTATTGGATTTATTTTTTTTAATATTTATTTTTATTTATTTATGATAGACACAGAGAGAGAGAGAGAGGCAGAGACACAGGCAGAGGGAGAAGCAGGCTCCATGCTGGGAGCCCGACGCGGGACTCGATCCCGGGACTCCAGGATCGCGCCCTGGGCCAAAGGCAGGCACGAAACCGCTGAGCCACCCAGGGATCCCTGAGTGTATTGGATTTAAATAAAATACACTAAAATCAATTTCATCCCATTTTCTTAACGTGGCTACTAGAAAACCTAAAAGTATGTGTATATGCAACTCACACTTCTGCCGGACGTGTTGCTCTGTGGCTTTGTCCTCGTGTATATCTCTTGTCTGTCTGCTTACTCTGGTAGATGTTTTAAACAGAAGATGCCTTGCTCTGGTTGTCTTCCCCTAGCTGCCCAGAGTTACAGTGAGTACCAGTACTGTGGTCTCACCCTCCCTGTCTTACCTTGTCTGTCTCGTCTCCTCTTTGGTAGACTGGTAAGGTTTCCTTTGTCCCATTTAATTTCCTTGGGTGGTTTGGCAAGCTCGCAGCCATACCCCGGTTGTGACAGGTCAGACGTTGTCCCCCTGGCCCCCTGGGGAGTAGTGTCCCTGGTGGAGAACCGCTCCTCCTGTTGGTCTGCTGGTATGAGAGTGTCACCTCCAGGGACTGCACGGCTGTACATGTCTCACTCCTCCCCGGCCTGTGTCTGAGCTCCAGTATGCCCTTCCTCCCAGCAGTGGCCACCACTTTACCACCCCCATGGATGTATGTTTGAGATGGTTCCAGTCTTCGGGTTTAGGAATAAGACGACTGCGCATTTGTGTATGAGTCTGTTTGTGGGTATTACATAGTCGTTTCTCTTGGGATTGGAATTGCTGAGTGATGTGGCATGTGTATGTTTTTCTGTCATAAGAAACAGCCAGACCCTGTTCCTGAGGATCCCCCACACCCCTGCCAGCAGTAACATCCAAGTGTCCTCAGCCTGGTTGGCGGGTGGTGTGAAGTCTTCCTAGCACACAGTAGCATCCCATCTTCAGGCCCTTCTGAGAAGCAGAACGAACCAGTAAGGAAGAGAGAAATGGAGTGGGAGAGGGGTTGAAGCCTGGCCATAAAGAATTGGCTTATGGTATTACAGGGCCTGAGAAGGTCTGCAGTGGGCAAGCTGGATCCCCAGGAGGGCTGCTGGAGCAGCCGTGGTCAGGTAGCCTGCTTGACTTAGCCCACCATTCACAGTGGTGTTCTCCAGACGGGCCCAGAGCAGTGTCCTACCCAGGTTCTGGGCACTTTGTGGCCCAGGCAGGTTGACCACACATAAAATTAGCCTTCACATGTCCGCTGTGGCTTTAATTTGCATATTTCTGACTAATGATGTTAAGTGTCTTTATTACTACTTCTCTGTATATCTTCTTTTTGTGACTTTGTTAAAACTTTTTGTCCATTTTATTTTATTATTTGGGGGGGTTAAAAAAAGATTTATTTATGTATTTGAGAGAGAGTGAACACAAGCACCATTTTATTTTTTAAAAGATTTTATTATTTATTTGACAGAGTGGGTGCACACACAAGCAGTGGGAGGGGCCGGGGGAGGGAGAAGCAGATTCCCTGCTGAGCAGAGAACCTGATAGACCGGGCTCAATCCCAGGACCATCCCCTGTTGCCCATTTTAAAAAAGGGATTGTTGTCATGGTCTCTATTGTAAGGGTTCTAAATATGTTCTAGATAAAAATCCTTTGTCAGATTTACACACAGTGAATGTTTTCTCCTAGTCTGTGGTTTGCCTTAAATTGTCTTTATTCTTAAATTATCTTTCAAAGAGTAGAAGTTCTAGTTTTGATTAAGATTTGATTAATTTTTCTTTTATAGTTAGTGCATTCTGTATCCCTTCGAGAAATCTCTGCCTATCTTAAGGTTGTGAAGATTTTCTCCTGTGTTCCCATCTCAAAGATCTCAAGCGTTAGCTTTTACATTTTTGGGTCCATAGTCATTTAAGTATGTTTGCAGACCATATGAGGTCGGGTTGAGGTTCCCCCCCCCCCCCCATGGCCATCCAGTTCTCTGCCATTGTTGGAGAGTTGGTCCTCTCTGCCCTGGATTGCTCAGCTCTTTGGTTGGATGTAACACCCCGCATGGGGGTCCATTTCTGGTTCTCCGCACTCCACTGATCCTGGTGCAATACTGCACCGGGACCACACTGTCTCGTTCACTACAGCTTCGTGGTAAGTGTTGAAGTCAGATACCATTGCTATGTATTTTCAGCGTCATAGGAATATTTTTTTTATTGTAAAACATAACGTGAAACTAGCCATCTTAATCATTTTTAAGTGTGCAGCAGTGTTAGCTATATGCATATAAGGTCTCTAGGACTTCTCACCTCGCACCACTGAAAGTGTGTACCCATTTGTCTTAATTCAGAGTGCAGTAAACTGAGTGCTTATAAACAACAGAAAGTTATTCTCCAAGTCCTAGACGCAGGGAGTCCATGATCACAGTGCCAGTGTGGTCTGCTTCTGGTGGGGCCTCTTCTGGGCTGCTGAAGGCCATCTTCTCCTGTGTCACACATGGTGAAAATAGTGAACAGTCCTTTTTAAAGGGTGCTGACCCCAGGCATGAGGGCTGCACAACCCACTCACTTCCCAAGGTCCTATCTCCATATACCACCCCATATATAAATTATGGAGGGGAGGGACACATTCAGTCTTGCACCATTAAACCACTCCCCTCTTCCCCAAACCCTGGCTATTGCTCTTCTGTGTTGTTTCTGATAGTTTGGCTTCTCTCAGTATCCCATATGAGAGAATCATACAGGTTAGTCTTTTTGTGACGGGCTATTCACTTTGCATAGCGTCCTACAGGTTCATCCATGTTGCAGCATATGGTAGGATTTCCTTCTCTGTAAGGCTGAATAATGTTCCACTGGGTGTATACACCACATTTTGGTAATCTGTCCATCCGTCTGTCCATCCATCCGTCCATCCACTAATCCATACATCTGTCCATCCTTTCATCCATCTATCCATCCATCTGTCCATCTAAAGTCTGTCCATGAATCTGACCATTCATTCACTTGTCCCTCTGTCCCTCCATCCATCCTCCCATCTGTCCATCCATCTGTCCATGAACACATGGGTGTTTCCACGTCTCAGCTGCTGTGCACAATGCTGTTATGACCATTGGGACCCTGCCGTCAGTTCTGGGAACGTACCCAGGCATGGAATGGCTGGGCCATGTGGTCATCCTATGCTTTGTTTTTGAGGACTGGCCATGCTATTTTCCACGGCAGCTGAACCCACCCCCCACAGTGCTCAGGGGTTCAGTTTTCCCATATCCTCACCAAGGCTCACTGGTGTCTGCTCCTTGGAGAGCAGCTATCCCATGTGGGGGTGAGGTGGGGTCTGCTGGTGCTACTGACTGCATTTCCCTGATACTTGGTGCTGCTCAGCACTGCCTTCCTTGCTCCCCCCCCCCCCCCATGCGGGTCAGCCACCATGTATCTTCTTGGGAGAAGTGGCTGCTCAGGTCGTCTGCCCACTGTGAGTTGGGGTCAGTCCATCTGTGTCTTTGCTTTGGAGGTGGAGCCTTCCACCTGCCACTCTGCCATGGTGCTCTCCCCTTCCTGGGCAGCCATCTCTGTTAGTTGCTTCATTTGCTTCGCTCAAGTCTACGTTTGATGTAATCCCATTGGTCTACTTTTAGTTTTGTTGTCTGTGCATATAAGAGTATAGTTCTAATATTTGCCTCTTATTTTGGAATTCTTTCAAAATCTTTTAGACGTAGAATCACCTTATCCACATTTCTCAGGCTGTGGATTGGTTTTTTCCTATAGTTTGACTATATTTTTACTGGTTTCTTTCCTCACCGCTCTTTGTTGTGTCTTGTTATTTCCTCTCATTGGTCTTGTTATATGTGTCTCACTGAGGACTCTGTGATTTTCCTTCTAGAAAAGGGTTGTGGGTACTAACCATGGTTCAGAGTCTTCAGTATTTCTGAAATTCCTTTCCTTCATTTGGAAGGAAGCTGTGAAGGAGCTGTTGGTGACTGAGCAGCAGGGTCAGTTGGGGAAAGGCAGGGAGGCCGAGACCCCAGGCTGGTGCCCTGTAGTCAGAGGCTGAAGAGCTTTCCAGGGCCAGCTGCCTGGTGCCCCGTGATGGTCCGAAGATGGCAGAGGAGGCTGCTTAGTGCTCCCAGGACATAGATTCTGGGAGGTGCTGGCAGGGAGGGGAGGTGCTGTGGACCAGACCAATGGGGGGCATGGGACAGGTGCAGGTGCAGGCAGTAGGTGAGGTTCTGAGAGCTCAGTCCTATGGAGCCTGTGACCAGGTGTGGAGCTGGAGCACTGAGGGCAGGTAGTGAGTCCTCTGTGGCAGGAGTGGCCACAGAAAGCGCCTGACAGCCATTTGGAGGTCAGACTCAGCAGTGTAGGCTGGGGGACTGACTCAGGTGTGGGGGAAGATGCAGGCCACATGGTGGAAGAGCTTGGTGGGGCTCATGGCCCCTAGCAGTGCATCTCAGAAGGGGAGGAAATCCTGAGTTGACTTCTTTCATCAAAAGATAAAGTAATTGGGAAGCCTGGGTGGCTCAGCGGTTGAGCGTTTGCCTTCAGTCCCACGTTGGGCTTCCTGCATGGAGCCTGCTTCTCCCTCTGCCTAGGTCTCTGCCTCTCTCTGTGTGTCTCATGAATAAATAAATAAAATCTTTTTTTTAAAAAAAGAGAAAATAATTGATTTTGTAACCTTACAATATCAACCATGGACTGAAGGTGAATGCTAGAGCATTTCCTGCTTCCTTTTTGGGTAAAAGTTAAAAATGGAGATCCTAAGCCTGTAGTGCTTGCTTTGGAGTCTCCTTTTACATCCCCTTTGGCTCTATGGGATGGGCCTCAGGCTAGGTGTCATCTGCGAAAGGCAGGACGCTGAGACCTGCCACTCTGGTGAGTCCCGTGCTATTGACCACACCAGAGACCTGTTGGTCCTTAGGAACATGGCTGTGTCCAGCATGTGTCATGGTGCTCATGTGCTTCTCACCTGGCTTTTCAGCTGTGGAGAGCCAGAGATGTGCCGTACTGTCTCCTGCTGAATGCTCTATGTGGCATTTAACTATGTTATGGTGTTCATTGAATGTAATTTTAACATCTGAATCTGAAAATAAGACTTTGAAGCTTTTGTTATCATGCATCATGGAATTTGTTTCAGTTCACTTCTTAGTAATTCTTTTTATTGTGTTGTATGAAAGTGTCAGCCAGGTCAGATTGGAAACACATGCCCATCCTTGCAGACAGTTTGCAGGGCCCCTGAATTAGGTGGGAGATCTGAAAATAACCCAAGATTCTGAAAGGGAGGATGCACACATCAGCATCCCACCAATGCCCGGCCTCTACTGATAGCTTCTCCCCTCTTGTCCAGGAGGAGTGTCCTAAATGCACACACCTAGGTCTGCATGCTGTGCTGTGTTATGAGATATGTTTACCAAAACTAAGGCTCTTTCCCAAAATTGGGCAGGGTGCCTGTTCCTTTGGACAGGGAGGATGGGGTGGGTGTCTGTGTCTGGTCATCTCCTCGAAGTTTCATTCTGATCCTCGCACCAAGAGTGGAAGACTCTTGAGGGCCTGTGAAGCCAGGACAGGCCTGGTTAGGTGATAGACCTCAGATGCAGGTGACATTGTATTGGTGTTGTGGGTGCCACTCCATGTTAAGGACAGCCCTTTTGCTTCCTCTTGTCTCAGAGACTCTCCTGTCTTGCTTATGCTAGACCATGGCTACCATGAAAGGCTGTTAGACTCAGCTGCTCGGGATGAGCCCTGCCCACGTTGCAGTACATGGCTTGTCTTATGGCATTCTGCCTCATGAGCTGGTAAGACCCAAGGTGTGGACAGGAATGTTTACCCGCTGCCACCTGTACCCCGGGGAGCTTGAAGAGGGAGTGGCAGCTGGTGCAAGTTCAGTACTGGCCTGGCCAGGTCTTGGAGACAAGACCTGCTGCAGTGGCCCCTCCTTGGCCAGGGCCGGGCTCTTCTGGTTTGTGCTGTCCCCTTGGTGTCTCTGCTCCTGGGAATCCCATGCTCCTCCTTACTGCACGTGGTGCCCGGCACTTGTCACTGGCAGTGCCCCTTGGGAGTGGGTCCTTCCCCATCACTGGGTACCACTCTAGAGGAAGTGTTGGCCTAGTGTGGTTTGTAGCAGAGCAAGACTTCCACAGTGACCTGCTGGTCACCAGGGTGGCCATGCTGTGTGAGCAGCATTTGAGGAGCAGGGTTGGGAGGAGTGTCAGCAATCATTGTCTCTGGAAGGACAGAAGGGCCACAGCGACATGTCATCCCTTCATGGGTCTTTTATCTGTGACGTATTCTGTAGGGAAAGGTGGTTTTTGTGACTGGGGGCAAAGGAGCATGGTTTGAGAGGAGTTAAGTACGCCCTTGTAGCTTCCTGCCGGTGCTGATGCCCTGACTTATTTGTGCGTCCTCAGCGCCCCTGGGACTACTCTGATTTTGGTCATTTCCTTAACTGTTATTCTGGATGAACTTTGGGATTATTCTGTCAGTGTGCCCTTTGGAAAGAATGGAGCTGTATCAGCTCTGGATTTGGGGACAGTTTGCACCTTTCTGTTAGCGTCCTCTTCTGTAACACGAAGGACCCTCCATCACACAGGCCTTCTATGGGCCTTAGTCAGGCTTTTGAGTGTTGGGAGCCAAGGACTTCTGCTTGACCAGATGCTGTGAAGGGGTCTGGTCATCCCACACACCAGTGACCTTTCTTCTCCAGGTGCCCTACGAGACCCTGAATAAACGCTTTCGGGCTGCTCAGAAGAACATTGACCGAGAGACAAGCCACGTCACCATGGTGGTAGCCGAGCTGGAGAAGACTTTGAGCAGCTGCCCAGCCGTGGACTCCGTAGTCAGCCTCTTGGACGGCGTGGTGGAGAAGCTCAGCGTCCTCAAGAGGAAGGCCAGTATTGCTTCTGGACCGTTCTGCCTGCCTGCCTCCACACGGGCTGTCACATGGCTTCACAGGCCCAGCCTTACTGTGTGCCCAGGCCATCCCGAAGAGAGGGTGTCTTCTGCAGGAGCTGGGGGCAACCCTGAGTGTGTGGGAGAGGCGACCCCTCCTGGCTGGCTGTGCTCTGCAGCCTCTGTGAGGCTGGCAGGCTGGCTTCCTGTTCCTGCAGGCCTGGCTTCAGGGGGTTCCACACGCAGATGGGAGGCAAATGAGTTGTTATTTTTAGAATTTCACCTCAGAACTTCATGGAGAGTTTTTCATTTCTGGGAGAGGTAGGTAGAGTGCAGTACTGTGCCTCTGAACAACCCAAAGAATGCCACAAGGTATTTTAAAACATCTTACTGAATGTATCAAAGGGCTTGTGAAACACAAAGCTTATCATCAGAACCCAAGGGCAGGGGCCAGGAGGAGAGAAGCCCCCCCCCCGCCTCTGCCCCCACCTGGCTGCCCGTGGGGCTGCACTGGGCCCCATGACTGGGGCCAGCCAAGGTGGGGAGGCTAGGGTGGGCAGTGGGGCCCGGTAGAACTGCCTGTCAGGTAAGGGCAAGCCAAGACCCCTCCTCTTCAACATAGTGTCCGTGGCTCTGGCTGGTGGTGCCTCCAGGCACCAGGCACACGAAACGTATGTCTCAGGTGGAGGACACCATCAGAGCATCACGTTGGTGATGTAGGGTCACCAGGTTCAAAGGATGCCACAGCTGAGGTGTAGCAGAAACGACACACACCACACAGAGTTCAGATACCACCCTCTACTGCATCTAAAGATTAAATAGTTGAGAATATTTACAGGGAACAGAAAGCATGAAGTAGGACTGAGAGTTTAAAATAAACCAAATAAAACTCAAAGTATAAATAACTGAAAATGAAAAACTCAAATGTTGCCTTATAACAGACTTTTTAGCATTTAATAATCAGAGCTAAAGAGAGAATTTGTGAGCTGGAAGGTAGGTGTGAAGAGATTATCTAGAATACAGCAGAGAGTGCTAAAAAGACAGAGATACCTAAGAGAGTGGGAAGCCTCAGAGACCAGAGCAGATACTGTGACCTAAGTCAGGGGGGATGGCACAGGAGCAAGAGTCCCCAGATTTTCAGAACTGATGGAAGTCACCAGTTCAGAGTCCTAAATAGGATAAATAAATCTACCTAGGATTTCACATCACTAAACTGAAAAGAGAGAAAAATCTTGAAAACGCTGGAGTAAGAAAACCAGTTCCAAAAGAGCAGCAGGTACCCTGGCAGCAAGTGGAAGGTAGAGGGGAGTGGCATTTGCTTGAGGATGATACGGGCCGGCCAGAGTGCTGGGTGTGTGCTGTGCATTGGCCCCTCCAGCCAGGCATGACATCCACACCGCAGTGAAGGAAATTATGAATCTGGCTCCTTGTGGTGCTGGCCACACGTCAAGTAGTGGAGAGCCAGCTGCTATCCGGGACAGTGCTGACACAACGTTTCTACAGAGCCATGTTCATTTTGAACAAACTTGACTTTGAGGGAGAAAGTAATATAAAAGATGGAAAGTTGCAAATAATAACAGATTGTTTAATTAACTAGGAAGCCATAACAAATTTAAAATCATACGTATATGGTAGCATAGCCCCAGACTACATAAAGAAGTACCATCCCTGAAGAGAAGGTGCAAGTGCACAGAGCGGTAGGTGTGAGGTAACAACAGGTGTAGCCAAACCTGGGTGGCGCTGGGGTGGGGGTGGGGTGGGAGGACAGCGCTCCCATTTGCTTCTGTCACCGAGTGCGGGAACATCCCATCCTTTTCCCCTGATTTTTCCTTGCCTCCTGTTGGTGAGTGTTCCAGGTCGGGGCAGCCTGGTCACTGTCCCATCCTGAGCAGTCTCTGCTATGTGTCTCAGGCAGTGGAGTCCATCCAGGCGGAGGATGAGAGTGCCAAGCTGTGCAAGCGCAGGATTGAGCACCTCAAAGAGCATAGCAGCGACCAGCCCGCAGCAGCCAGCATGTGGAAGAGGAAGCGCATGGATCGCATGATGGTGGAGCACCTGCTGCGCTGTGGCTACTACAACACAGCCGTGAAGCTAGCCCGCCAGAGCGGCATCGAGGTGGGCATGCACTCGGGGCCTCTTGTCACCTCCCCAGGGCTGGGCCGTCCTGGAATGTGCCAGTTCGCTGTGAGCTGTGCAAGCTAGCCCTTTGGAGAGCAGCTCTTGGGATCGGGTAGAAAGGCCTAAACCCTTCTTGCAAAGGTGATCCAGATCTAGTGGTTGAACTAAGGCGACGACTCGGGGTGCTTCTCATTCGGCAACATGTTATTATGAGGAAGAATGCGGAAGGGAACTTTTCCCATTCTATATATACCAGGTGTGTTCCTGTGATTGTTTTTACTGGTGTGAGATCTTTTTTCCAGGGTGGGGTGTGTTTTCCATCTGTCTGTCTTTAGTGGTACCTATGATACAGGTGTAGGAATGGACAATGCTCTGGCCTTCAGTGCACGTGCAAGCCAGGCAGCTTGGAGCTTCAGAAAGAAGGCTGCTTGGCAGTGGCAAAGGCATCCTGGCATGGGGTAGAGGTCACCCAGTGCTCTCATTCCCTGTACCAGGGCTTCACAGACCCATGTGCACCTTTCTCTAGCCTTCAGGCTGGTTTAGCTGGGAGCTGCCTCTCTGCTGTTGGGTAGTGTCTGCCTCCCCAACCCTGGTCTCCACCCTGTACCCAGAGATCCCTCACCCTGTCTTCCTTCCCTATCTAGCACGACCAGCTTGTACCTGATTGACCAGCTCTCTTGACCTTGTGTATGACTGGCACAGCCTGTTCATCTGCATTAGTCATTTGGGTGCTCACAGATACCCCATCCCTTTTTTCCCCCGCTACTGTGAGGCTGTGGCCAAATGTTCCTAGCTTGGAGGAATGTGTGCTTTGAGGGGGAGAGAGGCATGAGGTCAAACAGGATTGTTTACAGGGGTGCATAGGGTAGAGGGGCAGGAGGGCTAGTGATTTTCAGAAACTTGGTTGGGGTGGGTTTGCAGAGATGAGAGGAAGCTCCCAGGACAGACCTGGGAGCTGCTGTATACTAGGATGGGGGTCTGAGCACCTGCAGAACTCATAGAGTGGGGCTTCCCCTTGACTGAGATGGGTGCAGGGTAGGGAGGGGAGGGGTTGAGTTCAATAGGCTCACTCTGGTTGCTCTGTGAAGAACAGAGTATGGGGGCATGGGTAACTCAGGAGGCTGTCCTGTGTGATTCAAGGTAATGGGGTGGTCACACCTCAGATATCCTGTAAAGGGGGCACTGTGAGATTTCCTTGTGGAACCTCCAGCTTCAAAGTATGTATAGAAATTAAGGTTGCTTCTAGAAGCAAGCAGAAGAGGAACCTCACGCCCTTGGGGGTGGGGTGAGGGCTTCTGACAGGATGTGGTGCTGTCACCAATGAAGAGGCTGATATATCAGGTTCATTAACATTTAAAACTTCTGTTTGTCAAAAGATGCCATGAAGAGAGAGTGCATGGGGTCAGCCCAGATGGGGGTTGTGTGGCCCACCACTCGGAGCCTTGGTCTTGGTGGACAAGCATATCCCTGCTGGCATCTCTGGCCCTTCTGCATTAGAAATCACAGTGCTGGAATCTCACGTGGGGTGGACACCTGGTAGTCTGGCATCATTTCCAGCTGTGGTGTGTGTGAGCCATGTTGTCCCACCTCCGGTCATCTGGTTTAACACCCCAAGGTCTATGAATACCCGAGAAACATCAGCAGGAGAAAGATGTCAGAGGCCAGACCCTGAGGCCTTACAGACCAAGGACCCGCAGGTGGGCCCTGAGGCACAGGCAGAAGAGCAAAACTGAAAACTAGAGATGGGAAATAAGGAGAGAAAGATGACCCTCATATAGGAGACCTAGCGTTTCCCTGTGGGAAGGTTCTAGAAAAGAGAAAATGCCAGAGAGATGGTTCACAAGAACAGCTGACCTCTGAGATGATGTAGGGCCAGGGTGCTGGCTGCGGTGCCCAGCACTCCCTGTCAGGTCCCGTGTCAGGAGGGTAAAGTATGGGGGTGGGAAGGGCCAAGGAATGCAGGGTCAGGCCTGCCCCTGTCCGACCTGGCTGCCCCGACAGGCTGGCAGTCAGGATGTGGGGCCAGCAGAGCCTCGTGGGGTCTCCGGCCATGTGAGTTTGGGGATCTGTCTGGGAACCCTTGTGTGACCCACCCCAGACTGCCCATTGTTGAGCTGTGGTACAGTGTGCCGACCAGACACCTCACAGCCCTTGCCTTCTGTTCAGGGGCTCTCCTGCCCTTGACCAGCTATTACTTATCCATGGCAAGACACCGAGCAGTAACTTTGCTGGCCCTTGGTTGCCACATAATGGCATTCTGATTAGTATTTTTTTCTTGTTCACTTTGCTATGAATGTCTAGTTTTAACTGTGGCATTGTTAGCCATAATGTACTTCTTGCCATGTAAACAGAAAAGTTTCTGGCTTTCACCATGGTTACTTTTATACTTGAAACCTCGTGTCTTATGCTGTACTCACCAGAAGGACTGTGTTCCTTCTCCAGACACTGCTTCTGGAAGAAGCAGGACACGGCTGTGGCTGCGTAGACACGCAAGCCCTGTAGTGAGCTGGCCCCTAACTCAGTTGGCCCCAGGCAGACCTTTGGTGGAGGCATTGTGGCAAGAAAGCTGCCATGTGCTGTGCTTCCCCATGCTGAGGTGCTCGGCGTGAGGCCTGAGAGTCACTGGAACATACCTGAAGAGAATTCAAGGGAATTTTTTGTGTTGGATGTTCCCCCTCCTTTCTCTGAGAAACTGAGCTTAAGTAACCATGTTTGCTCTAGTCATTCCAGATGGGAGAGAAATTTATCCTTTGAAATTTGTTTTCTTCAAATTGCTCCCCCTCCTGCAATGCAAGCATGGCCCTCTCTTCCCCGCCTCTGTGGCAAGGAGGTTGTGCTCTGACCCTTTGTTGGGGATTTAAGGCCCTGGGCACCCTGTGGATGTTGTGACCCTGGGTCCCTGCTCTGCTTGGATCTTCCAGAGCTCAGCAAATGTGACTCCATAGGCAGCAGAGAAAGGGAGAGAGTAAACAGGGAGGCAGAGACAGCCCTACCCATCTACCCTTGCTGCTCCTCACAAATCTCATTCATGTACATCTTTGGAGGGAACAAAACAGTGAGGGTATGGGTTGCTGGGGTTCCCAGGTTTATCGTGAAGGGTGAAATGGATTCAGGCCTCTGCTTGGGGCCCCTAAGGGTCTGGGTTGGGGCTTTGGTTTGGGATAGTCTTCCACCTGTGCTGGGGATACTGTATCCTACCTAATGCAGTGCAGGCCCTGGCCAGTGTGCAGACATCCACCCGCTATGGGCCTGCCCCTTGTCCCAGGGCCCCTCAACCTGGAGGAGCAGCTAGAGGAACTGCCCAGGTGGGGTGTGCTGGAGGGGGGCATCCAGGAGTGCAGGGAGGGGGGAGCCCGGGAGGGTCCGGGCGTCCAGTGCTCTGAGCGCACACTGCTTCCTTCCCCTAAGGACTTGGTGAACATCGAGATGTTCCTGACGGCCAAAGAAGTGGAGGAGTCCCTGGAGAGGCGTGAGACTGCCACCTGCCTGGCCTGGTGCCACGACAACAAGTCCCGTCTGCGCAAGATGAAGGTGTGCAGGCTCGCAGGGCGGGGCGGGGCAGGGGCGGGGCCGGCACCTGCCCGGAACCCACGCGCCTGTACCTGTGAGTTTGGAGTTCTGTGCTTTGGGGCCAGAGGGTGGGGTTGTTGGGTTTGGTGTGGGTTCAGAATTTTTGTTTTGGTTGCGGTGTTTGGGTTTTAGGTAAAATCCCTGAAAAGTGCACCCCCTTTTGCATTATGGTTTGGCCATGTGTTCTGAGCATGAGGTTCTGAAGGAGCGAGGTGCCAACTGCCTGCGTGTGCTCAGCTTGTTAGCTGCTGCTGGGTCTGTCCCGCCCCCAGTCCCTTGGTCACTGATAGAGGAAGCCCCCCTCCAGAAGCCTTGTCCATCGGGCAGAGTTCTAGGCTGGGATACTCTCCAATATAGCTGTTCTTGAGACCCACAAGCAGCTTCACGGATTGACACTTAATCATAAATTATAGAATCTAAACATGCTTATTGATAGGTGTTGTCACCATGGGGCTTGCAGAAATGTTTAACTTCAATTAACCTTCCCCTGCCTCCGTTAGAAAAACTGTTTGTTTTCTGTTTTCTAAACCGAGCACCTTTAACCTCTCCCCGGTTGAGCTTGTCATGTGCACATAGTCACCAGCCAAGGGTGACGCTCTCTGCCACTCAGGGCCGCCAAAGCGAGCACGACGTGAAGACGGGACGGAAAAGTAGAGTGGCCAGTGGCTCCCCTAAAGAGAGTGAGGATCTTGGTATGGAAACCATAAAAGGAAAGCCAGAATTGGTATGTAACACTCACCCTGCTCTCCTGCTGCAGCCCCCACAGCTGTGCCGCACAGTGGGAACCCCGTCACAAGGAAAGTAGGCTTTCCATCCTGACAGGTAGTTTCTGCAAGCCCTGGTACCTCCAGACAACACTGCTGCTTGGCAAGGGCACCGCCACACAGGCCGGGTCCAGGCGGGGCCTTGCAGCTGCTGTGGGAGTGGGGTGGGCAGGCGGCCAAATCCATGGATAGCAGATTCCTGTTACCTGGCCATTTAACTGGAGAGAGCATAGCTATCTCAGAGTGTTTGGGAAGACAAGCTAATGACACAAAAACGTGCTTGTTAGAAAATATCAGCTGAGCAGGGTAGGGCACCAGAGTGCCCATACAGCATGCATATGTGTGTGTACACATGGGAGCTCACACATGCAGGCCCGGGCGGGGGGGAGACAGGAGTTTGACAACAATGGATCCTTCACAGCAGTCATGAGATTCTAGGCAAGAAAAGAAACTTTGAGACCCATGTGTCCTGTGGTTAGAAAATACTTCTAAGACCACAGGTGTGCTGAGTGAATATCTGTTGCGTCAAGTCCCATCTCCAGAGCTTATGGACAGTTGAAACAACAGTGTATGTGCTGCGTGTCAGGAAAGCCGGATGGGTCACAAATGTGCAAGCGCCAGGCCTTTCGCAGGTAGCACATGAAGAATGTATTCAGCCCTCAGTGCTTGGCATGATCACCTGGAGTCATGGTATTTTACGTTTGAGTCTAAGTACCTAAGTTTAGTACATACGTACTTGCTTGTTAGTGAACTGTTTGGAAGGTGACCTGCTAGAACAGAGCTGTTAAGATATTAGAACATGTTTAAACACGTCAGTTGTGTAAAGCTGTAGCATGTCGTTTACTATGACCTTGTCCATCTAGAATGTCCACCTGGCGGCTCCCTCCTGGTGTCCCCTGAGTGCAGAAGCGGCAATCATCAGCTGCCCTGGGGAGGCAGGGCATCTCCCCACTGGTCTCTGCCTCATGGCCTCTTGGTCTGGCCTTGAAAGGGAACTCATCACTGGGGCTGGGGCCTCCTTTCTGTCTGCTGGTCTGTGGCATGCCTGCCACTCAGCACGTGGCATCTCCTCCATCCACTTGGGTGTCAGGACAGACTGCTGCTTTGGTGCAAAGGGCAGGGGAGGAGGGGCCAGGCCAGGAAAACATGCCTTGCTCTGAGGACCTGTGGTGTGGACGTTTTGGGCACCAGCTGGGGTGCTCTCTGCACCTTCACCTCTTACAGCCTGGTAGGCTCCAAGGTAGGTCACGTCAGCCAGTGCGCCACCCTCGTGTCCATGGAACAGGGCAGGGGCTTGGTAGAGGGCACAGTCCCGCAGTCTGGCTGCAGTGCTTCATGGGAATGCCAGTGTGCACGCACGGAGGCTTGGGTAGGAAATTCCACTATTGGCACATGAGTGTAAGAGTTAGATGTTTGGGGTCTGACCAATGGACTTGCTGTGTAGAATATCTGTCCACGTCATCTTGTGACTCAGATACTGTGGAAGGCAGGATGGCCAATGAGTGGAAAACGCAGAGATTTTTCTCTTGTTCTATTAATTCTACATATTCTGTTTCTGATTGTAAACACTGAGTGTTTTCTGAAACCATGTTGGAGACATTATAGTTTAAATTACCATCTTTGTAAGATCCAACTTTTCGTCTTAAGTTACAAGAGTTCACTTTGCCTGCCTTCCCATCCCCAGCCACAAGAGTTTGAACTCAGATTAGACGTTGCTAGGATAGCAGAGTTAGCATCCATACAAATGACCCCACTGGTGGCACTCTGTTAGCGTCTCCTCAGAACCCCGTGTGAAGTTGTTGGACGGATGCCTATCAGACACGGGGCCACCTGGCATAGCAGTGCCTCCTCCTAGCAGCTGCTATCCCAGACTTGTCATACCCCAGTGCCCTCCTCAGACCCTGGGGCTTCCACTTTCTGCTCTGACCAACTCTCCAGCTCTGTGTGCCTCCTGTCCTACCCACTCTTGCCAGGGTCTTTGAACTGTCAGGCTCTTCCTCTGCCCCGAATATTCCCCCCAGGTGTCCCACTACGGACGGTCCCCACCTCACCCTCCCCCCAAGAGTCCTCACCCAGTCCCTGCTCAGGGACCTGGGTTCCCTCACCTGCTCCACTCCCGTTGCTCCTGCTCACACTCCTCTGTGAGGAACCACTTTCCCGCCTCTCCTCCCACTGGGTGTCAGGCCCCAGGTCGGAGCTAGCCTCCATCTCCCAGAGCAGGTGGAGGTGGGATGCCTCACGGAATTCTGAGGCCAACGGAGGCAAGGTCCTTCTGGCTGAAGTTGCCAAATACAGTTAAAGGAAGGGTCTGAGTGCGTGCCCACGTGCTTTTACGACTTCATAACAGTGAAACAAACAATCCAGAGAGCTGCTTTGTCCTCATGAAGGGAAGGAGACTTGTCTTCATGGGGTCACTTGCTTCACCTGGGAAGTCGTGTCCCACGCCCCCCTGAACTGCTGACAGCCTGCAGCATCCTCATGGTGATGCGTGGCTGCTGCTTACCCTCGGGTGAAGCCTGGCTGCCCACCCATGCCCGTGCCTGCCTGTCCCGCCATTCCCAAGCCTAGCCCATGGGTTTCACTCAGGGCCATCGGCCCCCGGGTGCAGCACTGCTTCTGCTGTGCTTGGAAGGCTGAGCCCGCGTGCATCACAGCCAGGAAAGTTGACGGTGGGCTGAGATGACAGTTTTATTATCAGACCCATTTCCCTGGTGGCTCTAAGCTTCCTTGGCGGGGTGTGCAGTGTCCAGCTGGTCTGGTGGGGTCAGCCTGTGGGCATGGCTCTGGTGACTCTCCCCAAGCCTTGTCTTGTCTTTACCCCCAGAGCTGCCTGGAGTTCAGCCTAAGGATTCAGGAGTTCATTGAACTCATCCGGCAGAACAAGAGACTAGACGCCGTGAGGTACGTAGAGAGGGGCACACAGTTCTTACCAGGGAGCAGACTGCCTCCTTGACTTTGATGGGACAGGCCTCATAGGCTCTGGGGGATGAAGCATGGAGTGTCCAGCAGGTCTGCCCTGAATTGGCTGGGCCCTGCCTGTGAGGAGCAGGGTGCTGACGCCTGGCACCCAGGCTCCATTCTATCCAGTACACTCAGCCTTTCAGCCTTTCTGTTGGCACGAGGCTGATGGAGCATGTGGGCTCAGGACCATGGTTCTACTGCTATATCCACCTGCCCAGGGGTGGGGGCAGCTCCAAGTACACATGATGTGGTGTTTAGAGCGTGGGCAGAGGGAGCCTTTAGGGAGGAAGCTGGTCTGCAGGCATGGGAGCGTGGGGTTCCCTGAGTGCAGGCAGCACGGGAAGGCCCAGCCCCGTGAAGACTGCTCCTTTGGGGGAGGGGGTTGGCTCTGTCTCTGGAAATTGGATGGGGAGTCATTGCAGAACTGGGAGAGCTGGACTGTCTCTGGGTTCTCTGGGACTGTGCGGGGAAGGGGGGGGCGTTTTGATAATTCGTGCCATGGGGTGTGGGTTCATGTACACCAGGGTCACTTGTAAAGGCTTGGACAGGTGCCCTTTTCAGTTGGGTCAATGCCTCTGGGTGTTTTCTGAATGGGATTCTGTGCTGCGTGCCTTGAGCCAAGTCCCCGTCTCTGTTCCTTTGAGGAAGGGGGTCCTGCTGAGCTGAGGTCCTGACAGACCCTGGCCCAGGTCACAGAGGTGGGGCTCATTTGGCACTGAGGCTTTGGCATATGCTGAGCACAGATTCTTAAAGGTAAAAAAGCAAACTCAAACGACCCAAAATGTTTTCTAGACATGCAAGAAAGCACTTCAGTCAGGCTGAGGGGAGCCAGCTGGACGAGGTCCGCCAGGTCATGGGCATGCTGGCCTTTCCACCAGACACGCACATCTCCCCGTACAAGGTAACCTGTGCCTGTGGGCCCTCGGGGCTGGGGAGGACCTGGTCTGTGGTTGTGCTCCTGCTTGGGGCGTGACACACACTGTACTGGGCTTTGGCCCTGGCATTTCCGCTTTGCCAGTAAGAAGTTTGGATCAGAACAACGCACGAGAGGCTGCAGCCTTGAGTGCCTCACCTTTTGCCCTCACCTTTCTCTCCCACTGCCAGTGTCCTTCCTGACCTCTGCCATCTCTTCCAGGGCTTGTTCTCCCCTGCTCCCCTTGGCCTTGTGGGTCCATGCAGGGGTCTGGGCGGGACGTCATCATGCAGCATCACTGGCCAGCCCACTCGGCTTTGCTGGGCAGGGTGTCTGGCTTCTTGAAACCAGGTGACGGCTGGAAACCTTTGGAAACCTAGGGCAGCCCTCACAATCTCTCATCTGCCTTTGGGATCCTTCCCTTGTCTTGAAAGATGTCCTGTGTTCTGAGCTGAAGAGCTCAGGTTCCTGGAGAACCTAGAAATTGGGATAGCCTTCCCTCATTCCTTCTGGCTCCTCCCGCTTGGGGGTCCTTGGCCATCAGCCCTTGGTCATGCCCACACTGGTGTCCTTAGAAAGCCTCACTTGGCCACACCCATGGTGTTCTTTCTGGGGTGGCTTTCTCGTGGTTTGCAACACAAGACGGGAAGTTTCCAAATCGTCAAGTCCTGCTTTGTTTAGATGAGCAGCTCCATCCCTACGTTATTTTTCTGTTCCCATGTTTTACTGTAAATGTGTCCAGAGAAGCCAGGCACGCCTTTAGTACTTGGCCTAGGGACAGTGTCAGTCCTGTTTCTGGTGTGCTCGTGCATTAATGCTGCCTTCCCCATGACTCCTGCACGATGCCACCCTGCTCTGCAGGCTGGGGCTCCTCCCGCTGCATGGGCTCTGTTTAGCCACACCCCCACGCTCTCCCAGCTGTGGCCACACCTACAGGTCCACCCTTGGTTTTCTGTTTTCGTGTGTCTGGGGTGCTATGACAATCCCAGACTCACAGGCTGCTTTCTCACTATTTGGAGTCAGGAAGCCCAAGATCAAGGCCTTGGCAGGGTTGGAAGAAGCCCTCTTCCTCCTCTGTTTTTACAAGGAAACTAGTTCCCGAAGACCCCACCCTTGCCACCCCATGTGCCTGTAGGTCCTCACCTGACCCCATCCATAGTGAGAGATGCTCAGCCATGATGTGGCTGTCCTGGAGGAGGAGTGAAAGAAACCGCCTTCTCTGTGGGCTGAACCGGGCTTGTTCCCTGAGCCTTGATGGTAGGCTCTGCCCAAGGCCCACCTGCCCCCTGTGGTTTTGTGGGCATCAGCACCTGCACCTCACCAGCAGCTGAGCTCCTGATGGCTGGAACACTTGGCCACAGGCCTTCTGCGAGGCATCTGGAAGCTTTTCCACCCCCATGGGACTCACATAGTTCTTTGGTGTCAGGAATGTCCTGTAATAAATCCTCGGGTCATGGAGATTCTGCAGGAATGAACCTGAACTTGGTTTAACTGACAGCGTCTACACTTTCTCCTCTGTGCTCTGGAGAAGGTTTGTGAGAAGTGCAGAAAGGGCCTGCCCTAGAGAGTGAGATGCCCACTCGGTGCATCTGTAGAGCATGGGCCAGTCCTCACCAGATATGCCTCATGATGGCATGCTGCTCTCCACTGCCTAAGGACCGGACAGCTGACCCCCTGGGAGGCACTGTGGCAGCGTGGAAGAGAAGCCACGGCTGCCATCAAGGCTGTTGGCGTAGGCACCGCCCACAGCCACACAGCCTCTTCACTATGGACACGGACAGCCAGGGTGCACACAGAGGGGAGGGCCCAGGAAGGGAGCCCGGGACACTGCAGGAATGTGCTGATGCAGTGCCATGTCATGCCATGCCATGCTGAGGGGACAGAGCCCTTGCCCTCAGCCCCTTGTGGCAGGAAGTCACAGGTGTGTCTGCCTGGGTCACATGACAAGCAGGACGAAGTGCTCTGGTCAGGGAGAGGTGGCCGCACCGGAGTCCCAAGGCCAAGGGTCGCAGGGGGGTGGGGTGTGTGGAGCCCTGGAATGTGCGCTGAGTCCTTTGTGGCTTTGCTTTGACAAAAATAACACTAAAGACCTGTTTTTGTAATGTTGGAGTTAAGCGTGATGTCTGCCCTAAGCCCTGTGGTGCTCCCTTGACCCCGCACCTCCTCCCCTCCAGCCTGTGTTGACTTTGCATCTGGGAAGCTTTGGGACACACAATGACCAGGCTCAAGTCCTGTCCCGAGGTTCTCCAGCCTCCAGGCAGGGGTGGTTCTGGCCCAGCAAGTTACTTTCTGGAGTGAGACTGTTCCCCCGAAGCCTCGGTGCTTTGACCCATCCTGAGCCATCCTTCTGCCCACTGAGTCCCCCTCTTGCCAGGAGGCCACCGGACCCCCACCCTTTAGCATCTGTGTCTGTGCAGGACACATCAGCGGTCCGTTAAGCAGACTTGGGAGTCCAGGCTGTGGGCACCTCGCATTGTTCACCGGTGGGCGCCTGTCAGTTCGGGGGGCTGTGGTTTCTGTTGCCTTTCACCTGCATGGAAACAGTTTGTTGTTTGCTTTTGATGGGGACAGCAGTGTGCTTCCCTGAACCGTCCCCCTGAGTGTCCCCAACATGCTTCTGCCCTGTCTCTTCCAGGACCTGCTGGACCCGGCCCGGTGGCGGATGCTCATCCAACAGTTCCGATATGACAACTACCGGCTGCACCAGCTGGGGAACAACTCTGTGTTCACCCTCACACTGCAGGCTGGCCTCTCGGCGATAAAGACACCGTATCCTTCTGGCGGCCAGGGGCTCCCATGTGCCCTTTCCAACCTAAGGCCCCATCTGGGGTAGCCGGGATGGTTCACAAGGCTGTAGAGACCTTTGCACCCTGCACACTGAGGCTTCACTCCCCACACACTGCTGGGCACATTGCATGATGACCACAAGGCCAGTGTTGGCTTCCTTTCTGGCAGCTGGGACTGGGCGCCATTGGGAACAGTTTCCCAGGGTGATTCCTGAGAATTTGCTCCAACTTCTGTTGGTCTGTGCCCCAGCTGTCTCCGGCCAGGTGTCTCCTCTTATTTCCAGATGCGTGTGGTGGCACCACAGCAGCTCCCCTGCCATCAGAGCTGAGGGGTTCTGACCACAGCTCCCAACGGTCCCCCCTGAGTGTGACACCTGGGCCCCTGGGGACCCTGGGCTGTCTGCTTTAGTGGCCATCTGCATGATGGGACCCGCCCTGAGGGGCACAGGGCAGCAGGGGTGCCTCCCACCACCGCACGACCCTTCCTTGACCTGAATGCAGACAGTGCTACAAGGAGGATGGCAGCTCCAAGAGCCCTGACTGCCCCGTCTGCAGCCGCTCCCTGAACAAGCTGGCACAGCCCCTGCCCATGGCCCACTGTGCCAATTCCCGCCTGGTCTGCAAGATCTCGGGTGACGTGATGAATGAGAACAACCCGCCCATGATGCTGCCCAACGGCTACGTCTACGGCTACAACGTGAGGAGCCACAGGGGCCACATGGGGGAAGGCCAGGGTGGGACAGGGGCAAGAGGTGTGGTCTGGGAATGTGGGGGGAGGCATGAGGGGATGCCTGTCAGTCCTAACAGTGTGCACCAGGTATCTGCAGGGTGTGGGGTGTGGGGCACGGTTGCTGGGCATGGGTGTGGGCTCCAGGTTTGGGCCTGAGGGGCAGGTCTTGGCCCTGGGTACGGAGGGCCCAGACCTGTGCTGCCCCTGGAGAGTGGGGGCGGTGGGGACCAGGAGGTGGCATGCACGAGGGAAGCCGAGCCCCCCACCCCCCACAGCGGTGGGTGGGTGGCTGCGTGCCCTCATGCCCCCTTCCCCCACATTGTGTTCAGTCTCTGCTGTCCATCCGCCAAGATGACAAAGTCGTTTGCCCGAGGACCAAAGAAGTGTTCCACTTCTCCCAAGCCGAGAAGGTGTACATCATGTAGGCTGGGCCGCCCCGCGTGCCCCTGCCTGCCTGCGTTTCTGTTTCTTGCGACCAAAGATCAGTGAGCGACGATGGGTACTCCAAGGAAGGGAGGGTCGGGTCCGTACGCCCGTGCTAGGGGACAGCCATGCCGCTGCTAGGACTCTGAAGCGCGTGAGCTACTGGATGCCTTCCCCTTTCAGAGAGACCTTCCCGCCGCCTAGGGAGCTTCGGCCGCTTGGGAAACAGGAGTCGGTGATTTCCCGCGCCCCCGACCCCGCCTCCGCCCGCCCTGGTGGCCGTCCTCAGCTGGGCCCATGGGGCTGCACCTGTGCCGCCGCCAGGCGGGCTTAGGGTGTGCTAGGTTCAATGTCACGTCATTCGTGCCGCCTTATTTCCTGCTTGAGAATGTATTCACGTGGAAATCCACTGGACCGAGTTCTGCAGAGGCCTTGCCGACGGCTCCGTAACTGTAGAGCGAATGCTGTTCGTTACAGAAACTAGTAGTTCAGTCCAAGTAACCACCGATGACTTTTCAAATCCAATGAACCATTGTAGTTTACACAAAACCATACCGTAGAGGTTTGTATTTAGCGCTTATTTTTGCATGTTGATGTTGATTAGCTAATAAACTGTAAATGTAAAACCTGTTAATAAAAGGGTTTTCTATTTCTTATGTCTGTGTGAGGTGGAAGCTGCTGTGCATTCTAACACCCTCTCTGTGTCTGCTCACCCCAGGCCCCTTTAGTCCTGCCCCAGGAGCCCCTGGCAGGGTGGGTCCTGGGGCTCCCCGTAGCAGCCCCTGCAGCTCTGCTGTGATAACAGTTGCACCCATGTGTGCCTCATCCCAGAGCCCTGCTCCAGCAGTACTCTGCTTCAGGGGATGCGAGGGTGGCTGGGCCTGCTGAGTGGGCTCTCCCCTGACTCGCCAGTGCATATTGGCCTCGTGATGCTACTGAGTGCCTGGTACATGTGCACGTACGTGGCTAAGGGTAGCAGCCTCTTCCACACAGAGCCCCTGCTCAGAGCACAGGTTAGGTGCAGGGAGGCAGGGGCTCCTTCCCACCATGCCCTCCACTGTGTGCCCCTGCCCCCCTGGCCTCACTCTGACCACCACCTGTGCCACTTCCCCTTTTCCTGCTTCACAAAGCCATGAGGATACCCTGCCTGTGTGCACATGCGTGTAGCCCACACCACTCCTGCCCTCAGGTCCCTCCTGGTCCACTGTGGTGGCCACGTCATGGTGAAAGCTGCTCACCTCTGGGGCAGCCACAGGGTGACTGGAACTTAGTGATTGGTTACAGCCACGCTGGGGATGGATGTCTGGGCTGTTCGCAGATGAAGCCACCACGCACAGGCTCACATGTTCTGAGCGGAGCTGCTGGGTATCTTAAGTAGACGGGTGGCCAGGCACCTGTACGCCCATGCCTACTCGCCTCAGCCGCATCTCCACCTGCTGTGCCTCCTCGGCACTTGGCCCTGGGTGCCTTAGATTCGAGACATCTTGTTGGCTCCCTGTGTGTTTTCACTGACGTAGCAATTGCACCTATTGTAACACCGGCTCTCACTAAACAGTGTGATGAGCTTCGGTAAACGCGTACCAGGTGTAGGCACCACGCCCAGGTATATAGCACCCCCAGGCCCCAGGAGGCTGTACCTATGATCGTCACTGGGACTTTGCACAGATTAGTTTTGGCTTCCTATGTATTGAAACAGACCATGTGCTTCCCAGTGCCTAACTTGGTTCAGCAGATGCCTGAGGGGCATCCACATGGCCACGTGTGTCAGTGGTCCTCCTGTGTCTCTGAGGAGTAATCCACTTGACATGCACCACAGTGTGTCCATTCTCTCTGTGGACGTTTGGTTTGTGTCCAGTTTCTAGTTACTACAAATCAAGCTGCTATGAATGTTGCTGGCATAGTTGTTTGTGGACATTATTTTCCATTCTCTGCAGTAAATGTGTGGAAGTAACTGAGTCTGGAGTAATAACTGAGTCACGCGGCTGCTGCACATTTATTTAACTTTCAATTGCCAAGGTTTCTCCCACAATGCTGGGGACGGTGTACATGCCTGTCAGCAGTGTGTGACTGCTCCAGTCGGTTCACATCTTGCCAGCATTTGGTGGTCATTCTTCATCCTGGCTGCTCAGGTGGGTATGCCCTGGCACCTCCCCATGGGCTTACCTGGCATTTCCTTGATGGCTAAGAACACTGAGCCCCTTCCCATGTGCTGATTGGTTAGTTGTGTGTCTCTTCAAGTCTTCTGCCCATTTTTTGTTTGGATGACTTTTTTATTTGTAGGAATGCAGTACATATTTGGGACATAGATCCTTTGATACGTGTATTTGCACTTTATTGCCTGTTACTTGACCAGCAAAGGTTTTAATTTTAGTAAAGTTCACTCTTAACGGTTCATGACTTTTTGTGTTCTGAGAAATATTTACCCATTCCAAGGTCCCAGTGATACTGTCTTCTAGAAGATTCGGTTTTAGCTTTTGTTTAGGTTTGTAACCCACTGCACTGAATTTCTATGTGCGGTGTGAGGAAGAGGCTGAGGACCACTTCCTCCCACGTGTTCATCCTGTTGTTCCAAATCATTTGTTGAAGGTTTTTTTGTCTCTGTCAAATAATGCTACCCCCCTGGCTGTATTCCTCTGGGTCCATTCTGGAAGCTCTCCTCTGCATAACGGCCCTAGGATTGTCCTCAGCCAGCACCCTAGTATCTTGGTCACTGCAGCTGTAAAGTACGGTACAAATGAATCCCTTTTGTTCTACATATTTTCTGCTTTTTCAAAATTGTTTTGACTGCTTGCATTTCCACGTAAGTTTTGGAATCAGCTTGTAAAAGTACCCAAAAAAAGTCTGCTGAGATTTTAATTGGAATTGCATTGAATCTAGATCAACCTGGGGATCGTCTTTTCAGGTTGCCATAACGACCCCACACACTGGGTGCTTGAACAAAAGAAAAGCCTTTTCTCCCAGTTCTGGAAGCCCAACGTCGGATCCGGTTGCCCGCCTCTTTCTGGCTCGTGGACAGCCTTCTCGCCTTCTTGCCTTCTTCCTGTGCACTCCCATGGCCTTGACCCTGCCTACTATGAGGATGCCAGTCGTGTTGGATGAGGACCCATCTCATGACTTCATGTGACCTTGGTCACCTCCAAATAGAGTCCACATGGGGGGTCAGGGCTTCCACGTGAGTTTGGGTGAGGGCAACAGTTAAGTCCGCCACAGGGACTTAAAAATTGCAGCTACATTGAGGCCACCAGCCAGTGAATACGGTGTCCTCTATATCCAGACCTCACCTGCATCAGGGTTCTGGGTGCATTTTGTTTATCCTAAGTCATCTCATCGTTTCCCTGCTTTGTTCAGTGTGGTGACATAGACATGTGATTGATCCTCTATATTGATCTTGTATTCTGTGACCTTTCTAAGCTCATTTGTTCTGGTAGCTTTTTGCTGTGTTATAAAGCATTTTCTGTGTACACGGTTGTAACATCTGCAAATAAAGACCATTTGCCTGTCCCTCTCTAATCTCCATGCCTCTCGTTCCATTTTCTCCCCTTATTGTGGGGGTAAAGCCTCCAGCACAGTATGAATGGAGCCCTGGTCTGGTTCCAACCTTGGGGAGGAAGTATCCTCTCTCACCATGAAGGACCCTGTCTGCTATAGGTTATCTTAGGTGCAGTTATCAGGTTGAGGGAGTTCACTCCTCGTTCCTGAGTTACCATCATGAGGGCATGTTGAATTTTGTCAAATGCTAATTTCTTCATCTAATGAAATTAGCATAAGGCTCCTCTTTGTTCTGATAAGGGTGACACCGACAATTGCACAATTATTCTTGAGTGGTTGAACAGGCCTCCTGAGCGCATGGTGTTGGTCTTGTGTAGAGCATGCTGGATTGGACTTGCTGGCACTTTGTTGGGCAGGTTGTCCACAATGTACTCTATTAGTTTTTTAATGTCTGTAGGATCTGTAGTGATGTTCCCTCTCATTCCTGATATTGCTGGTTTGTTTCTTCTTTTCCCTTGATACCTACCTAGACGCTTATCAATTTCATGGATCATTTCAAAGAACCAACTTTTGGTCCTTGATTGATTTTTCCCTATTGTTTGCCTGTCTTCTGTGTAATTCATTTCTGTTCTTTATTGTTTTCTTCCTCCTGCTCATTTTTGGGCTTAATTGTTCTTTTTCTAGCTTCTTTTTTTTTAAATATATATATATATTTTTAATTTTTATTTATTTATGATAGTCACAGAGAGAGAGAGAGAGAGAGAGAGAGAGAGAGGCAGAGACACAGGCAGAGGGAGAAGCAGGCTCCATGCACCGGGAGCCTGACGTGGGATTCGATCCCGGGTCTCCAGGATCGCGCCCTGGGCCAAAGGGAGGCGCTAAACCGCTGTGCCACCCAGGGATCCCTTTTTCTAGCTTCTTAAAGGGAAGATTAGATTATTGCTTTGGGGCTTTTCCTTTCTAATATAAACATTCCATACATTTTAATGTTGTTTTCATTTTCATGCTGTTCGAAATATTTTATAATTTCCATTGTGATTTTTTTCCTTTGACCCACAGATTACAGAAGCCTATTAGCTATACTTGGAGACTTTCCAGATATTTTCCTGTTATTAAATTCTAATTTAATTCTGTTGGAAAATCTACTCCATTTGGTTTCAATAGTTTTAAGTTATAGACTTGTTTTATGTCTGCCTTGGTGAGTGTTCTGTGTGCACTTCAAAAGCACATCTGCCTGCTGTCAGGGCACGACCTGCAGGTGCAAGCCAGGTCCAGTTCATGATGGACAGCTAGTCTCTTCTACCGACTGATCTCCTCCTTTTTAATTCTTGAAGTTTACAGGGGACTTTGTCTATGTCCCCTTTACGCCTATGAGCTTTTGCTTCATGCACTTGAAAATCTGTGTTCTGAGGCACAAGCACACTCCTTGGTAACATCTCTGACGTGGGCCCAGCCACTCTGACCCTCATCTGCTTAGTGTTCATATGTTACCTCTTTCTTGACCCTTTTGCTTCCAACCCAAGTCTTAAACCTGAAGTATGTTTCTATTGTAGACAGCATACACTTGGGTCTTTTTAATCCAATTGGACAATGACTGCCTTTCAATTGAGGTGTCTAAACCATTGACATTTCTTTCAAGATTTTATTTATTTGAGAGAGCACTGCAAGCAGGCGCAGTACTCAATCCCTACCCTGAGATCATGCTGAGCCCAAGGCAGATGCTTCACCAACTGAGCCACCCAGGTGCCCCTAAACCACTGACCTGTACTGTGATGATTATTATTACTGGATTTAAATCTGTGGCCTTTCTATTTGTTTTCTGTTCATCCAGTCTGTTCTGTTCATCTTTTTTGTCTTTATCTGCTGCCTATAGACTAAGAATTGTTGTTTTATCTCTGTTGACTTTTTAGCTCTACCTCTGTAGTTGCCCTAGTTCAATGTACCTCTTTGACTTGCCACAAGTGCCCTTTAACATTATACCACTTCATGTAAACATAGGAATCTGGGACATTCACTGCCTCTCTGACCCTGCACCCTGCCGTTGCCATGTATTTTCCTCTACAGATGTTCCATATTCAATACGTTGTTATGCTTTCAGTGAGTAGTCAATGATTTATAAAAGAAATCTGGAACAAAATAGATCTTATACTCACCCACATTTGCCCATTACAGCACTCTTCACTGCTTTTATAGATCTAAGTTTGCACCTGCTAGCGTCTGCCTCCTCTGAAGAACTTACTATAACAATGCTTCCATTGCAGACATGTGTCAGCAATGAATGCACTCAGCTTTCCTTTGTCTGAAAGTGTTCTATTTCAACCTAACTCAGGTTGGGAAGGATATTTCACTGCATATATAATCCAGGTTGACAGGTTTTTCTCCCTTTTATTATGTTAAAGATTTCATGCCATTGGCTTTGAGCTTGTGATGTTGTGACCAAGAAAACTGCTTCTCCCTTATCTCTTTAACTGTTTACACGAAGCCCTTCTGCTTCCACTGCTTTTTGTCACTGCCTTTCCACACATGGGTCATGACGTGCCTTGGATGGGCACGTGAAGTGCTTCGTCCTGCTGGGTTTCCTCGTCTCTGAAAGTCCCACCTGGTTCGTCTACAATATCCTCTAGGTCCGAACACGTTCATCTGGGCTAACTCTATTTATTCACCATTCAATATTGAATGGTGCCTGACATCACGAAGCAAAATAAAGATCCTTGTTCTCATGGAGCATATGTTCTGGGGCAAAGAGAAAAATAATAACGCTTACGGACCTTGTGTGACAGGAAGCCTGAGCACTTTGAGCATTGCAGGTGCAGTGGAGGAGCCTAAGGAGAGGGAGGGAGGGGCCTGTAGCAAGGGTGGGCTGGGAGCCTCCTTCCCTGCAGGAGCCAAGCCATGGTGCTGGAGAGGCGGGCTTGTGGGCAGCATGGTTCCATCCTGGCTGCTGTGAGGTGAATGGACTTTAGGGGTGTGAGGGCAGAAGCTGGGAGACAGGCAGCTGAGAGGGCACCCAGGTCATTGGCGTAAGTGGAAGGACAGACGTCACATCCACTGAGACGAGGGCGGTAGATGGGAGACTGGGACCCCTGGGTGAACGCAGGTGTCACAGGAAGAGGAGGTGCAGGGCAAATGCACAGCTCACTCTAGGAGTCCTGCTGCAAAAGAGCACCAGTAGCACAGCAGCTGCAGGAGAAGGTGTGGAGAAGGGTCTTGTTGGGACAAAAGCTGCAGTGTTGTAGCAGCCTAGTGGACTAGGTAATCCCTGCATGGGAGATGGAGGGGGCTGCCAGTGGTCGCTGGGTGCACACCACAGGCCTGGGATCAGGCGCACAGGAAGGGCTGCTTTACTGAAGGGCAGTTCATGTACCATACAAGTCACTTACTATGCACCACCAGCACTTTAGTGTGCTAACAGGCTCCTCCGCAGCCACTCCTCACTGGTGGCCACAGATCACGCATCTGCCTTCTCTGAACGTTGTGTCAGTGGAATCACACTATTTGGGCCTTTCGTCTGGTTGCTTTTGGGGTTCATCCACCATCTCCTGATGGACACTTGGGCTGTGACAACCTTTTGCCATTAAGAACAAGACTGAGAGCACTCATGTCCATGGGGTCCTTCCAGTGCACCTAGGTCTTTGGTGCTTTCATCCCATCCTGCTGCAGAGGCCTCAGTCCCTGGGGGTGAGGGCCATGCTGGGTGAAGGGCGCTCCGTGCCCAGGCTCCAAGCAGGGGTTGGGTGAGGCCAGGGGACCCTCGGGTGCGCCAGGCGAGAGAGGTGAGGGGCTCACCCCCAGGGCTCTCCTCTGCGCCGCTGGTCCCCGGCCCCAGAGGACAGGCTTGGCCCTGACCCCACGGGTGGAGGTGTTCGGGGGCCCAAGGGTGTGCACCTGCCGCTGCACGGCACGGGGCTGAGCACCGGGCTGGGCACGGGCTGCAGGAAGAGCGAGCGACCAGGTGGACATGAGTCCAGGCGGAGGAACCCCGGCGAGTCGGGGAGAGGCGAGGGGCGTCCCAGGGAAGATGAAGCCTGGCGACAGCCCCCCGAGCTGACGCCCCCCCGCCCCAGCACCAGGAGAAGCCCCGGCGGCACGCCGGCCCTGGGGGACGCCCTCCCGCTCCTCGGGCCTCACCCGGGCCATCTCGGCCTGCCGGTCGCGGTGGCAGGGCCCGGGGATCGCACCTTCCCGGGCGATCGCGGCGTGGAGAGCGAGCAGGTAACCCTCCGGGCAACCGCGCCTGGACCCGCACCCCACCCGGGCACGCGGCCCCTTTAAGGACTTGCTGCGCCCGCCCGCCTCCTTTTTTCTCGCCCGCCTCGGCCTTCCCGACCCGCCGGGAGTGCGCCTGCGTCACCACGCCCCAGGGACAGGGAGAGCCATTGGTTGCCGAGCTCGGGGCCACGTGACAGGGGGCGGGCGGGGCCTCCGCCGGAAAGGGCGGGCTAAGGTGACAGCTGTGGCGTTGTGCGTAGGTGCGGGCACCGCGGGGCTGACCTTCGTCCCCGCACCGCCCGCGGCAGGGCGAGCCAATGACTGCGACGAACCGGGGCACGTGACAGGGGCGGGGTCTCCTCCGGAAGGGGAGGGGCGAGGCGAGGCGAGCGGCCTGCTGCGCGGTAGGTGTCGCGGAATTCGCGATGCCAGGCGGGGTCTGCGGCAGTCTGGAGGCAGGCCTCGGACCCGGACGTCTCGCTCCTCCTCCCCAGGGCGCGGCCCTCCGCCCGGGGTCTCTCCTCGTCCCCCGCTTCCTCCCGGGACACTGTCTCTCCTTTCTCTTTCCTCCTCCCTCCTCCTCTCCCTCCGCCCCGGGACACTGAGCCTCTTTCCTCCTCCTCCTCTTCCTCCTCTCCCTCCTCCCCAGGACACTGTCCCTCCTCCTTCGTCGTCGTCGCCCCCCTCCTCCGCATTCTTCCTTCTCGGGACACAGTCTGTCTTCCTTCGTCTTTCTCCTTCCTCCTCCTCCTCCTCCTCCTCCTCTTGCATTCCTTCCTTCTCCTCCTTCCTTCCTTCTCCTCTCCTCCTCCTCCTCCTCCTTTCTCCTTCCTTCCTTCCTTCTTCCTCCTCCTCCTCTTTTCCTTTCTCCTCCTCAGAACACTCTCTCCTCCTTCCCCCTCCTCTTCCCCTTCTTCACCCCACACCATCCCCTCTTCCCGGGGACGCTGCGCCCTCTTCTGTCTGGCGTAGCCCTGGTGCCCTGGCCGGAGGAACTTGGGCAGAGTCCAACCAGAGGGATCCATGGTCCATGGTAGGGGGTGCTGGGAAGGGCTCAGGGGAGCAGCTACCTGCCTCTGCCGAGTGCGCATGAATTGGTGTTGGTTGGAGAGGCTGTGTTCGCCTTGCTGGGCCTGGCACCTCCTTATACCGAATAAAACAGCTCTGCAGCTAGCCCGGCACCCCTGCTGCCCCGGCTCCGTCCGTGCCGAGTGCCCGACCTCCCTGGGCCTTGTCCTCCTGCCCCACATTCTCTCCTTGCCGTCACCCTACCAGTTCCTTCCTGCAGCTCTCTGGGTGCTTAGCACTGGAGTTTGGACGTGATCTGGGTTTTTCTGTGCAGTTACAGAAGTCTAGCCCTGAGGCTCTGCGGTGTGCAGAGGCTGCTGTGTGGGTGTGAATGAACGGCGTTGTGAAGGGAGAAGTACCGCAGTCACATCTGGGCAAAGCTCATTTAGGTTTTATTTAGATGGTTGTTGTCCTTTTCTACCACACACCTCTCCCGTTCCCGGGATTGTAGCGCTCCAGAATGAATACTTTGTGGTTGCGCTTCTTCTAATTTACCACCAAAAAAGTCTTGTTGGCTGTGCCCAGAATACCACCTTGAATTGTATTTCACTGTCCAGGTCACCCCCTGAAGAGCCCAGGTGCAGCGGAGCTCAATGTCACAAATTGTGAAGCACTAGGTGGTCACCTTGCGTCTCTGCCACGCGCATTTCTAGTATGGATCAGAAACTGTCCAAGCTGGTAGAAGAGCTCACGACTTCGGGAGAACCCCAGCTGAATCCTGAGAAGATGAAGGAACTGAAGAAAATTTGCAAGTATGTCTTCAGGTCCAGCAATTCATGCCGATTGCTGGCTCAGCAAGTCTGAGATGCCCCCAGGAGACTGTCGGGCTTCCCTTGGGGTCCGGCCTCCCGCCTGGTCCGTCCCAGCCCTGCCTTGCCTGCCTCCACCATGGCCCCTGTGTGTGGGGAGGGAAAGCGCAGGATGTTTCCCCAGGGCCCTGGGGACCCTGCCCTGGCAGGCCATCCCGCTGTGGGCCCCCGTTCTGGGTTGGGGGCAGGCTGATGCGGCAAGAACACTTCTAAGGATGGCTCTGTTGAGAGCACAGATGCACAATCACTGATTGTCCTTATCCTGTATTTACAAAACAGGAAAATTGAAGTCAGTTTAATGATGTCGTCAGCTTTTGAAGAAAAAAAAAAATTCAGCACAGATCAGGTGTCACGGTACACCCAGAACACCCCCAAACAGCAGTGACTTCTCTTGCAGGGAAGAGAGCTGAGAGGACTACAGGAGGAGGCAGGGTGTGTGGTGGCTCCTAGGGCAGGTCCCAGAAGCTTCACTGACCTTTCCTTTGCTGCACCTGCAGGGGAGGCTGGGGGCCGGGGCCTCTGCTTGGCATGAAGTCTGTCCTGCCTTTGTCTGATGGGCCAGCTGGTGACCACTCTAGGCTTTAGGGGCCATAAGCCTCTGCTGTGTCCACTCAGCTGTGGACAGTACTGATGAACAAAGTGAAGGAGCGGCCATGGTTGTGTCCCAACTGGGTGCTGACACTGGATCTCCTGATTTTACATGTCATGAAGTATTATTCTTTTGGTTTGTTTTAGCCATTAAATCTGTAAAAGCCATTCTTGGCTTGTGGTCATACAGAAACAGGCAGGGGCTGAGGGCTGCAGTTTGTCCAGCCTGTTCTGGACAAAGGTTAGAAGAGTGGGGGCGTCCCTGCTGCTTTGCATGCTGTCTGCACACAAAGCGTGTAACGCAAGGCTGGCGGGTGTCCCCAGGTCTTCCGAGGAGCATCTCAGCCACACCTACCACCTGCTCACAACCCAGCTGAGCCAGGAGCATGCCCAGATCCGCCTCTCTGCATTCCAGGCCATAGACGAGCTCTTTGCCCGGTCTCATCAGTTCAGGATGCTGGTTGTTTCCAACTTCCAGGAGTTTCTGGATCTCACACTGGGCACTGACCATGAGCAGCCCCTGCCGCCCCCCAGGGAGGTGGCCCAGAAGCTGAGGCAGGCTGCCACCCGGGCTGTCCACAAATGGAATGAGAAGTACGGGGCGGCCTACAAGAAGCTCGCCTTGGGCTACCACTTCTTAAGACACAGCAAACAGGTGGGCAGGCTGCACTCTGTGCTGCATTGGTGGACACACTTGCCTGGCCACTTGGCTGCCAGCTAGGGGTGTGGAGGGCTTCCGGGAGTGGGGCAGCAGCACTTCGAGGAAGACGTGGAGGGAGCTGGGTCTCTGGTCCTGACTTCCACAGAAAGCCCAAAGGGGGGGGAAGTGTCCTGTGGCCAGGAGTTGAATCCCGTCAGGGTTTGCTGTGGGCTCTGGTGGTCCTGGCTGCTGCTGCCTCTGTCCCCCTATCCTGGCAGCTCAGGCCTTGCCCGGGGCATCGGGCCAGTCGGTGCAGCCTGACATGCCACAGCCTGACATGCCTCCTGGCTCTGCACCTCTGCAGTCCCCTCCTGGAGTGTTTCCAGGCCCCCCGGGGTGGGGTGAGCAGCATGCCGCTCTCTGAAGTGCTGCTGACTGTGCTCCTGTGGGGGATCAATCATTGCTGTCCACGTGTCTCCTTGTGTTTGGAAGCCTTGGAGCCAGGGACACACAGGGCCTGGCTCATGGGCATGTCTTCTCTCAGGCCTGGTTTGCCTTATTCTGTGTGTTGTGTAGTCAGGTCTCATGTCTACTTCAATTTCCCAGGTGGATTTTCAGGATGTGAGCGCAAGGACTCTGGCAGAAAGGAAGCGGGAGGAGGAGAAGCAGAAGCGCTTGGATAGAATCTACAAGGAAAGGTCTGAGCGGGCCATCAGGGAGATGGAGGGTGAGTGCGTGGTGAGGGACCACCCTGCCATGGGGGTGGCAGGTGGGCAGCCCCAGCCCTGTCCCCCAGAACCCCTGGGCAGCCACTACTCTCCCACGCCCCCTGGCAGTGCTGCATGGGAGTGTCCGCAAAGGTCTCTAGGCTGGCAGCAGGGACATGTGCCTGTTCATCTCACAGCCCCTGTTTGCTGTTGCCAGTGCCCCCACTTCAAAACCTGACTGTTACATGAGGGACAGGCAGCAGGCCCCTGCCCCCTGAGGATGGTGCTGGCGGGCCCCAGGGAGGTCCCTGCTGAGAAGCAGCCAACCAGAGTGCCATGGTAGAGATGAGCTCTCAGTGGAGTGCTGGGAAATGCTGTGTCCTCATAGCTCTCCCCTGGCCTCTCTCTGTCCACGGTGGCACATTCACTTGGTATCCTTGGGGGCACCAGTAAGCTTCATGGCAGAAGTCCAGACCTGTGTGTGTGACCAAGGACATCCCACAGGGCGGCCTTGTGCAGCTGAGTTTGTGGCTTCTTCATCCGAGGGAGTGGCCTCTGTCGGGGGAGGAAAGAGGAGGCACAACGGCCAGGCAGCACACAAGGACCCAGCCCACCTGCCGCTGGCATGTGCCTTCCCTTTGATCAGGGCCCTGCGCTGGGGGCAGGTGGTATTGTTTTGCTGGTGACCCAAGAGGCAGTACCTGTGTCTGCAGAAATGTCCGAGGAGATCCGGAGCTGCCTCACGGAGGTGGAGACCTGCTTCAGGCTGCTGGTGCCATTTGACTTTGCCACAGGCCTGGGGACAGTGTCACCTCTGGTGGCCTTTCCTGTGTCTGAGGAGAGTGCCCGCTGCCAGGCCGGTGCTGTGAATCATGGGGACGAGGAGCAGCCCTGCTGCAGCAAGACCCTGATCGCCTGTGCCCACCTTCCGGGAGCCGTCAGTGGGGAGGGGCCACCCCAGACTGCCACGGGGGCCAAGGAGGAGGAGGGGGACAGTGATGGTGACAGCGACAGTGACGGAGAAGGGTTTGTGCGGCGCCATGGCCTGGGGTCCCACAAGTACACACTGGATGTGGAGCTCTCCTCAGGTAACCCAAGCTCCTACGTGCTGGCCTGGGCTTTCTACCGTCAGCCATGGGCCCTAGGGACGCTGGCAGAAGCCGGAGTTCTTGGGACTGTGAGCAGAGCAGAGACTCCGGGGTTGGGGTGAGGGGTGACTTGAGGCTCGGGTCCTGTGGTCCCACCCTGAGGTCCTCCCTGTGACAGGCAAGCCTGACACGTTGAGGGGCTGAGGAGCCCTTGGGGAGGCTGTGCTGCCCATTCCCAGGCCTGTCGGGCTCAGAGGGTGACTGTTGGGCTCAGGCCAGCCTCTGTGGCTTGCAGGAAAATGTGGTTGGAGAGCGGCTTCTCACCATGTTCGTGATGACGTAGGAGAGATGCAAAGGGCCCCATGTGGCCTGCACCCTGTGTGGGCTCTGGGTGGTTTGGGAGCCTGCTAGGGATGTCGACAGAGGAAGAACAGTCAGGCTACCTAGTTGTGTGAAGACCTGTCAGGCGTCTTGGGTCCAGCAGCCCCAGGGGAACTGTCTGGCTGGGTCTAGGGGGACAGTGTGCAGAGGTGGGTGTGCCCAGCCAAAGATGGGTTGGGGTGGCGGGATGTGAAAAGAGCCCCTTGGGACTGAGCCTCCGTCCTGAGAGTGATAAGGGGCAGCCCCAGGGGGTGGGGGTCCAGGGTTTCCAAGGTTCTGTGGGATGAGCAGGGTCTTCAGGCCTGTGTGCAGGGAGATGTGCAGTCTGGCTAAAATGGTCTCCACCAAAATCAAAATTTTAAAGTAGTGAGTCTGTGTCTCTGGGGTGAGGTGTGGGGTCCTGGCAGAGTGTGGCTGGGGCAGGATGGGTGAGGCGGACAACTTGCCCCATGTCCTCTGCTGACCCTGTGTTCCAGACGGCCTGAGGGTGCATGAGGACGAGGACAACCACGCTGTCATCCACTCGGCCCGCGATGCACTCAAGCTTATCCAAAACAAGTTTCTGCCAGCCGTGTGCTCCTGGGTCCAGGTAATGCATGTTCCCACCAGACACACATGCTGGGAATGCTGGGGCCACGTCAAAGGGCACGCGAGGTGTGAGGGAGGGCGCCCTAACCTGCTCAAGTGACGCGCCCCCTCGTTGGCAGCTCTTCACCCGTGCAGGGGTCCATGGTGGACACTTAGAAGCTGCCATTGACCTGAAGGCGGAGCTGGAAACCGCCCTGAGGAGATCGGGAGAGCTGGACATTAAGCCTGAGGAGGGGCACAAGAGGGAGGTGAGTGCTGCCAGCGGACTGGGGGAGGGAAAGTGAGGAGACCTACTTTTTGAGCTCAGTTTTCAAAGTAAGCAAGAAATCACTGGCACTCAGAAATATTCTGGTTCTACCTTGCTGGGAGCTCCTTTCCTGAAATGGAGGGTCTGACTGGGAGGGTGAGAGAGAGCACTGCATAGGCAGGCCTCCCTGTGGATGAGGGGCTAGGACAGGGTCCAGGGCAGGAGGGCATGGCAGAGCTGGGGAAGGAGGCAGAAGGTTCTAGTTAGGAGGGAGATCGCAGGGCCCGAGAACTAGCCCAGCCCTGCTGCGCTTCTGCAGCCTAAACCTTCCTGAGTGCCCCCAGCAGAGCCTCCCGTGAGCTGGGAAAGGCTTTCTGGGCTTCAGGGTTTCATCCTGTCCATCTGCGCTGTGGCCAAGGACACACCATATTAGGGTGTGTGCAGGAGACAGAGAATCCAGACTTGTTCTCGGGCTTGTGCAGAGGGCCGTGTCCCTGGCCAGGGCAGGCGGATACCATGGTCCCAAGCGGGGCTCCACAGAGGAGCTCCGGGGCAATGAAGCAGGGCGAACATTTGACGTGGTGCCCCATTTGGGGAGGATAGTCAAGGATATGTGTCTGCTGGTTGTGTGGCACCTCCAGGCACCGTGTGGTTTGAGAGGGGGATGCTGGTCCTCTCAAGGGTTGTGTCCCCGGGCAACCTGGTGACGCAGGGACAGGCCCATACCTGTTGATGGGGTGCCAGGAAGTCCATCAGCTTCTGGGATACCAGACACTGGGCAGCAACCCTGAGCCTTGAAAATGGTGCCCCCTCCCATGAGCCTATGCCAGGATCTGGACCTTAATGTCCAAAAGGGATGTGAGAGCCGTGTCCTCTGCAGGTGTCCTTGGGGCCTGCCAGCAGGGAGGGGCAGCCACAGCTGGAACAGCAGCTGCTGTGTCAGAACCAGGAAGACAGCCTCCAGAGTGCACCTCTCTGCTGGGAGCCAGGCCCCTGGACCACAACTCCTGGCCTGGCTTTGGGCAGATGTAGCTGTTAACAACAGGAATTCTGGGGTAGAGGAACAGTATTCCCTGGTGAGGAAGAGAAGAGCTTCGGAGCCGCTCAGACCTAGGATGGATGGGGGCCGACACCCTGGCTCTCAGCACCTAGTGAACTGGACCCCTATGGGGCCCCTGGACACCTGTCACAGCACCCCTGCCCTTGGTGTGCCTCTGAGCAGCGGCCCCAGTGGCTGTCCTCCCGGTGCAGGGTATGCAGGCCAGGGGGACCGGCAGAGGGCACTCTTGCCTTTCTCCCATGAAGCTGTGCTGTCTCAGGAAAGTTCTGGGCAGGAGCAGGGCCTGCTCACAGCCTCGCCTCTGCTGGCTGATGTCCTAGTGGGTTTCTGTGGGTGCGGGATTCCTCGCAGAGCATTTCAGGTGTGTGACTTCACTGAGAAGTTAGTTTTGTGCATTTTGATCAAGATCTTTTTTTTTTTTTTTTTTTTTTTTTTACGATGAAGGGAGGTTGTTGTCTGGTGTCAGGAGGAAAGTGATCTGGTCCACTCTGCCCAGCACGTCAGGAAGGACTTCTTTCCGAACGTTAGAAGAGCCAGGATCACAGCATCAGAGCGGAGGCTGGCCTGAGATCAGGCAAGGGTGGGGGGACCGGGTGGCTCCCCTGGGTGCCTCCTTCATGGCGCCCTGAGGACCAGCCCATGTTGCATGAAGACCACCTCTCCACAGCCAGGTCTGCAGGAGCTGAGGGAGGTGCCCTTGGGGGCTGAGAGAGCCCCGGGGTTGTGAGGGCTGCTTGGGCAGGATGGTCTTGTCCTGCCAGGCCTGGGGATTGGTAGCACTGCTGGGGCTGGCAGGACACTGAGCCCAGAGGTGGCAGCAGAACCTTCATGGTGGCCTGATGCCAGCCAGTCCATCCTGGCCTCATGGTTCGAGCCCCCAGGGCAAGGGCGGGTGTCCTTTTGGACCCAGGGAGGACGGCTGCTGTGTCCCGAGTGCTGGTACCCCCAGCGACCAGTGGGCAGTGGCCAGGGTGGGTCGGGTCCCCTCTCCAGCAGATGCCCTGGGGATCTTGTGGGTCCAGTTTGGGGCTGCCCAGCTGTACTGTGGCTTCTGCTGCCCCCAGCGGACCCGGGGGCTCCAGTCAGCACCTCGATCTCCTGGACTGTTGAGGAGCCCCCAGCATCGAGGGCATCGGAGGATGCGTCTGGTGGGGGCAGGCTCTGTGGCCCTGCCCCTCCTGCACAGGGTCAGCGGGGCGCACAGAGACCCCTGGGTCACTGGGACCTTGTAGCCAGAGTTGCATGTGCGGAGGCAGTGTAGCTTCCGTCAGCCCAGTGGACACTTCCCAGATGCTTCTCCACAAACTGATTTTAAAAAGACAGTGCTCTGAAATCCTTGGAGATTGTGCTCATCCGCGCTGGCCGGCAGCGGCGCCTGGAGATGAAGCGATTGGGGCCCGAGTGGCTGAGTGGCAGTGCCCCGCTCAGGTGAGCGCCGCTTCCCAGAATAGCCGCCCGTATCTGCACATCTGCTCCCGCGCCGGGCGGCCGCAGAAGCCGCTGTGGTAATTAGAAATTATGAACGACGTGTGCTCCACTCATTTTCAAATCAAACGTCTGGGGCTTTCAATTGTTTGCCTTTGCGTCTCCCCACCTCACAGAGGCCTAGCGGGTGGCGTTGGAACCGTGAGCTCCGCAGGCTGAGCTGGGGACACTAATCCGTAACATGGGACCTAAGTATTTTTGAACTTCTGCCAGAAATGTCAGAGAGGATGAGCACAGGGCTCCTGGCCAGCACTGGGAGCTGTCCTCCCCGCAGCTCGACAGGAACCAGCCACAGGGCGGATAGTTGGAAGGTATCCTGGTTCTGGGTTTTGTGTAGTTGTTGGCTCCTATGTATTGTTTTCCTCTTGACACGGAGGTTCCGTCTTTAAGATATATTTCAGCCAGTTTAAATATGTTTAACTGTTTGTTTTATAGAGTGTGTCTCAGTTCTGTTTGGAAGCAGCTGGGGATAAATCTGAAATAGATCAATGTGGAGCATCATTCGGTAGATTTAGTTTCCAGTCCTGCTGCTGCGGGAGAGGTGTAATAATCTGTGGCTGCTACATTCGTTAAACTGATAAAAATCCTTTATAAACTTTTAAATTGCCTGCAGTTTAATTATGTGGCCAAGAAGAGCGATTATTTTGTATTGTGTAATTAACAAAATATTAATTTCCTACCAACCAATATGTCTGAAAACATTAACCTGGAGCACCAGTTTATATAAACTATCAGCAGTATGGTTTTTTTTTGAACGACTGGGTTGTGTGTTTAAGTGGGTAAAATGCTTGTGTGGGTGCTTTGGTCTGATCAGCAGTCTGACGTGGCGGCCGAGGGCTCTGCCAGGGGACACATCCTCACTGTTCCAAATGCAGCCGGACCACGTGGCTCAGGGCAGGCGTCCCTGGCAGATCGTGTGACGAGGATGTGCCTCGGGCAGGGGTCCTGGGTGCTCCAGCTGCCATTGTGTGGGACAAGTTTTCCATGCCGCTGGAGCCACATGAGGGCTGGCTTCCTGTAGGTGAAAAGGACAGAGCAGGAAGCCCAGGGAATGAAATGTTGAACGAGGGAGGCAGGCCGGGGAGGCAGGGAAACTAAATCAGCCAGCAGTAGGGACCTTGTGCTCGGCAGGGCCGGTAAACAACCTTCCTGGTGACATGGCTCCCTCCATCACACTGAAGGCCACACGGCTGCAGCCAGGGGCTGGGAGCCGGGGGAGGGGTCACATGCCTTCCGCCCTTCTCACCAGGCCAGAGAGCACTCAGGTAGGCACCCAACTGCCCAGGCCAGCCCCTCCCCTGTGCCCTGGGGCTCTAGGGCCCTTCTCCGCCCCACCACACCCAGGCCCTCCCTGTGCTGTGCGCACCCCTTGCTCTTAACACCTTCACATGTCATCCCTTTGATCCTATGAGTATCCCTATGAGGTGACTCTGTCACTACCCCATTACACAGATGGGAAGACTGAGTCTGGGGAAGGCCCTGAACCTCAGTCTCAGAGGGTAATGTCTGCCTGCACTTTTGCCCGAGAAGGTTAGGCTGAGGGAGGACAGCATGTACAGTGGCTTCTGTTGTGTGGATGGCCACCTCCTTGGGAGGTGAGACCCGCCTGAGGGGAAAAGCCTCAGTCTACTGGGAAGGATGTACTGTCCCACCACTTACCCACTCTCATAGGCCATGCCCTGCTTGGTGGCCTCCCTGCTTGGGTGACTGCAGCACAGGCTCCAGGTACTGCCCGAGGCTCCTGTGTTGTGTGACGGATGCCCTGGAAATGGACCCCCAGGTGTCCCGTTGCCCCGTGGTGTTATGGCTTGCACTGCTGGCAGGCCGGGTGCGGTGTGGAAGCAGTTTCCAAGGCAAGGCCTGTCGAGAACCCCAACCTGCCGCTGATTTGGATCAGACAAGAAACGGGGCCACGGTCACTCTGGAATGCAGTGATGCACATCTGCACCAGCTCTATTCTAAGTGGGGGACCTTGTGCTCTGCAGCCTTGTCTGTATCCGAGCAGGCTCTGTGTGGCCCTGAGAGCTGTTGTCAGGGGCCCTGTTCCCTCCTGCTTGCTGGTCAGCATGCACCCCACCGTCCTCTGCCCTCTGAAGGCGCGTCCCCAGCCGCTGGAGATGCACATGAGATATTGGCCTGGCTGGGCAATTTGCACGGCCTTCCAGGGAGGGCATTAGCATATAAATAGCAGATGCAATGACGACCATCACAGCTGAGCACGTTTAATTTTTAGTTTATAAGATAGAATGGGGTTTTAAATGCATGGCCATCAAGCCGCTGAAAGACAAATGCAGTTCGGAGCTCACTTGTCTGACGAGGCCTTACATCATTTTTTTTTTAAAAAAAGGGAAACAGACACACATAAAACTGAACAAAAGTGATTTCTTGGGTGAAAAGTAATTGAGATTGCGCACCGAGTTAATTAGATCGTACAAAATTTATTTAACGGTCCCAGCTGCATCTCAGGCGTGCGTTTGGCGGGCAGACCTGCTCCCAGAGCCAGGTCGCTCTTCCTCTTCCCCTCAAACAATCAGTAACCCCGATACCCCCACTGCTGTAAGCTGATTGTGTTGTATATTTTAGCCATTTTATTGCTTGTTTAATTATGATCCCAGAGGCTCATTTTTCTAAATCCTTTTAACTGTGGGTGCGAATCCATTTGTATGAGATCAAGGAAGGCCGGAGCCCCCAGCCTGCACCTCCCTGCGGCTGTGGGCTGGCTGGCCTCTCCCGAGGGGCTGCCCAGTGAGGGAGGTGTCCGATGGGCCGTGGGGCTCTGACCACTGGCCAGGGCCTCCACCTGTTGGTGAAGATGGGTGCACACCTCAGATGCAGTGGTGGGGGGGGGGGGGATTGGTTTCTCAAGACTATTCTGTGTGGTTTTTTGCTCCCAGCAGATGAGAACAATTCACAAGTAAACCCCAATTTGAGGGCATGATTCTCTTCCTTCCCAGGGTTCTCACAGCATCCACATGCCCCTGCCCACTCCCTGCCCAGGACCTTGCTTGCCTGGCTCAGGCCTGTTTCTGACCTGTGACCTTTGACCTTGAGGGGAGGTGGCCACCTCACTGCCCCACATAGGACTGGCTCCCATGAGCTCTTCCTGCAGGCCTCAGTCTCCCCAGACTGTACTGCTTTACACAGGTCTCAGGGAGGGCTTTCTGATTTGGCTGGTGGTGGTGTCCATGTTCTTAGTAGGTCACACAGGTGTCGCAGCAGTGGTGACTGCCTGATCAGAGCAGTCCTGGGGAAGCAGAGGAAGCAAAGCTTCCTCTGTCTCTGGACACAGGCTGTCACTGCGCTGCCCCGATTGGGCTCAGGGTTTGATGTCCAGTTCACTTTGTGCTGCGGAGCTTTCGGAGAGCTGAGGAGCCTTGGGAACGAGATGTTGAACTTGGGAGTTTTTGAGGGTGGATTTGGTACTGGCAACAAAGTCCACCTGGTGCTGTACAACCCGCCGTGGGTGGGGAGGGCCGCCCCATAGCTAGAGAGCTCACCACTCACGCGCACCAGTGCATTGCCACAGAGGCCAGAGGCCCAGCTGCGGGGACCCTGGGGGGGGCAGCTCTTACCCAGGGGAGTCCCCAGGCTCTTGCAGAGGACAGCGTCCTCCTGGAGGTGTGTGCTGCCTGGTATGGCCTCGTCAGTGCTAATTTAAGAACAAAGAGGAGCCTGGGGCTCCATATTTCATCTTGGGAATAAACAGTTGTAGTTAGGGAGAAAGAGGGTATAATTCCTAATAGTTAGCTAAGCAGCTGAATATTTTTTAGGAAATGAAAATTTAGTAAAAGTCCCTTGCAAAATTGAAGGGTGTGAGCGGTGAGCGTCATATTTTATGAAAATGACCTCCATATTTAAAATCCGGCACTCCGTGTTATGCATTGTAGCACCCAGTCCACATCTACCTTTTAGAAAATTAAAACACATAAATTCTGTTTAGTGTTTGATACGCACTGCACTAGCCGAGAACCGTAATGCCCTAAAACCTTGGGCTGCTTTCCACCTTTCATAAATTCCTGGGTAGATTCTATACAAAAATAATTTTCAGGTCCGTGGCTCATTGTTATTCAAACGTGATTGATCGCCGTCATTTGCCCAGCTCGGGAGTTAAGTGCCCCTGTCATTTCCAAAGAGTATAATTGGGACGTTTCACAGGTCAGTGGTGGAGACAGGCTTCCCTTTTGATCAGTGTTAGACTGATAACAAAAAATTACAGTTTCCGATGATGAATGTCTCCCGTGCTTCCCAGATGCACCACCGTGGGTTGTACCCAAACAAAGTGCATTTGCATCTGATTATGCCTCTCAAGGCGGGCGTCCTGGACCGCAGGTACGGCCCATGTGGCTGCTGATGCCCAGTCGCCGTGGCCACCACCAGGCCTGGCTCTGCAGGGACTGGCTGCTGTGAGGGTGCAGCTGGCATCTGTGACCCACTGGGCACAGTGTGGTCTCCTCTGTGCCCCCGAGGTGTGCTGCTAGGAGAGCTGTTGGAAGTGAAGGCATGTGCCGCATGGTTCTCCATCCAGAGTTTGTCTCTTCCTGCCTTTGAGGGTTCATGTCATGGGCACCCACCCGACAGGGGTCTCCTTTCTAGAGGGGCTGAATTTGTTGGTGGCAGTGGTGCGGTCTGCACCCTGGTCTGGCTCAGCTGGCCCCCAAGTGTTCCAGGCGGGTTGGCAGTGGGGTGGGTGCTTCCCTCTCAGGAAGGACTGGTCCTGATGGTCTGTTCCCCTCCCAAGTCGTATTCTAGGGCTGTGGGGGTCACTGAGAATGTGGGGCCACCTACAGAAGCCCCACTCCTGCTCTGCAGATGACCTGCACGGGCAGGGTCCCTGCCACACTTTCCGGGCCAGGTGCTGCCCAGCCAGCAGGGCAAGGGCAGAGATCCGGGTCTTGTAGAAAGGAAGCCAACCCCATGTGGTTCTTCAGGCCCTCTGGGTAGGGGGGCACGGAGGGGGCCCCCAGCTCTTTTCTGGTGGCTCAGGGCTCCTCACCACACTAGCCTGGATGGGGAAGGGGGCCTCAACCAGAGGAAACGGTTTCTTCGGTGGCTTTTTAAACAAGTCATTCTTAAGGATAGAATATTCCACAAGTGCTGTCATGGGAGCGGGGAGCTGGCCTCTTGCTGGGTGATATCAGTCTCCTGGGGCTCTGAAACACATCTCCTGCATGAGACTCTACAGCCATGCATCTTCATGCATTTCCAAGGGCACTGGGCAGTGGGGCAAGTTTACATGTGGTTTGGATGTGGACCCTAGATGGCCGGCTGATGGGATAGCCATGGACCTGGCATGAGCTCAAGTGGGACCAGGCCTGGAGACAATCTTTTGTCTAAGGTGATGCAGTGTACCTGACGCTGGACCCCAGCCCGGAAAAAGGTCTTCACAGAGGCAGGACTGGGAACTCCTGGGCCTCTGTGCTGTGCTTATACACAGGTCTGGGGGTGTTTCCACAGGTGGCAACCCCAGGGGACAGGGACGAGGACAATGACGATGACGATGACGGGGACTTTGTAGAGGTTCCAGAGAAGGAGGGGTATGAGGCCTGCATCCCCGACCACCTGCGGCCTGAGTACGGTGAGTGCAACTCGGGTAGCCAGGGTCCTGCTAAGGATGCTGACCATTAGAGTGTGACCTCACATCTGGGTCTGGGGTCTGGGGTCCACTGAGCAGGGGAGCCAGCTGTGGTGGATGCCCCACCTGCCAACACCACAGATCTCATGTCCCAGGCAAACCTCTCGCCAGGGCTCCTCCCCCAGGCCTGCCCTGCAGTGGGCTCCTGCTGCCCCTGTGTTGGGCCGGCTCCACCACCCATCCAGGGGGTACAGCCAAGCTGGCTACATGCAAGAGGCAGCCCTGTGGTGGACACAGAGGTCTCAGCACTTAGGAGGGAGTCCAGGAGTGGGGCAGGCACCAAATGCCCAGGGGAGAGTGCTATGGGAGTGTGGTGTGATTCCCAAAGTGGCAAGGCCACATGGGGCAGGAAAGAGACGGTGGCTAGCAGTGGCTGCACCCTGTTCTCAGGCTCCCAAGGCCCCAGGCCCTGTTAACTGGGGCACCCCTGCTTGCTGTCTCTGGAGTCACAGCCTCTGTGTCTGGCCCAGGACACCTGTGTACCTAGTGACAGAGGAGGGCTGCTCCAGAAATACAGACCCACCTGCAACTGGTCTCTCCTGTCTGGGCTTTCCTTTTCCATACCTGCACCCCAGGATGGTGGCCTTCTGGGAAGCAGGGGTGTGCGCCCACAGGATCTACCCGCACACACACACAGGAAGCAAATAAAAACAAGACCCATGGTTTCTGTGGCAAAACAAACCATTTGATTTCTGAATCTGAAGGTGAAATGTGAATTTGTTCAGATGATTGGCAGCTCAGGTGTGGCCCAGGGTAGTACATCTAGACCTGACACCTAACAGTGCAGCCCTGGTTCCTCTCCTGCTTGCCATCCACCAGCCAGGTGACCTCTCCCCAGGCACCCACCTGGACGCGGAAGCAGCAGCGACTCACACCTGCTCCCTGGCCGCCAGGGGCCTGTGTGCATGCCTCACCCTCTGCTCCAGCCACGTGGGCCTTCCCTTAGTTTTTGGGTCTTCCTCTGACTGTTAGGCAACCTTCCTGTCTCTTGTTCCGTGCTCTGCGTCTGAAATGGCTCTGCCATCCCTGGTTTATGCTGCCACCCCCCCACCCAGAGCAGGGGCTCTCTGTGGCCAAAGGCCTCACCTGCACCCATGAGGTGCCTGGGGACTGCTTAAGACACCTGTTAGGAGCAGTGACCGCCCTCCCGTGCCCAGGCCAGGACAGTGAAAGGTTGGGGGCAGGACTTGCCAGGGAATAGCCCGCTCAGTGTGGTCACTTCTCTAAGTTTCTGCAGCAGAGGAGCCTGGTGGCAGGTAGCCCCTGCCTAAGAGCCTCCTGTGGCCGGCAGGTTGTCCAACAGAGGTGAAGCTGTGAGGCTCTGGGCCCTGCCTGGGAGCCCCACCCTGACCCTCAGCTCATCCTCTGACTGTGACGTTGCAGTTGCAGACTCTTGCCCTTGCCCTATGCACATCCCGCTTTGAGGACATTGAGCCCTTTCAGAAGGGAGAGCTGCCCTCTGGCCTGGGGTCACACTTGGACCACAGCTGCAGTCTGTGGAGTGCTTCGTCTGTGCCACATCCACTTTGGCACAAGGGAAGTAGCACCCAGTGAAGCACTTGCTAGGCACCCACAGGGACACTCCTGCTGGCAGGGTCATAAGCGGCCATGGATCCTTTGGCCTACCCACTAAGAGTAGCTGACAGAGGCTGTGTGGGCCCTGCTGTGCTCACAGGACACGTGCCTGAACTCAGTGGGTGAACCTCCCTCCGGGCCTTGTCCACCCAGCCGGGACAGAGCAGAGGGAAATTGTCCCCACAGAGCAGCCTGCAAGCCTGATTGTGTGGTTCCTCCACCGAGCTCTGGGTGTTTCTCCAGCAGCAGGTGGGCGGCATGGGTGGGATGCCTCTTCTGTGCTCCTGGGGCACCTGACTGTGGCCTGCCCCCGATGTCCACTTCCTCGAAAGGACTGGTGCATGTGGAGGGAACCAGAAGCCCTGTTGGTCTTGGTGCCAGCTCACCCGTTTTCTCTGGAAGGCTCATGACATTCTGTCACCTGGAAGATTGTGCTGGTGGCTAACATGGATCGGGGCTGAGTGCTGTCCATCTGCGTTCCCAGACAGTTGGGCCGGGGCAGCGATGGACACAGCCTGCGTCCCTGGGGGTCATGACCCAGGGGAGACTGCATCCCCAAGACAGCCATGCCACCCTGGCCACCACCCTGAATGCGGCCGTGAGCCCCAGCGGGCCCCGGGGCTCTGGAGGTTTCCAAACACAGAAATGTGCCCGGGCAAGTCAGTCAGTTCATAACACTAGTTTATATTCCGCCACTGTTTTTTCAATTAAATGCAGGTGAACCTGCAGTAGATTCGTCTAAATCCACACGGCTGCGGAAGCTGGCGCTTTTTCTTTCTCATTTCTTTCTCTGAATTTTCACCGAGGGGCTTTTATCTTCCCCTTAATCCTACCATTTCTGTCAGGACATAATCTCTTTCTCAAATTTACATTTTAATTACAAGGCCAGCTGAACTAGGTAAAATCAATAATGTCAAGCTCGGCGGCCTAACTCCGCACGGAAGCCGCAGCCTCTCCATTTCCCGCTATCGATTCATCGCTCCCGCCCTGTCTGCCTTAGTGCTCCAGGCAAATGGGTGCCACTTGGTCAATTTAAACAAAAAAGGGGATTTGAGCAAGTGTAGGATTCTTTCTAAAGGCAACTGTGGAGGAAATTTGAGGCAGGGTCCCATCCGTGAGGCCCATGCCCTCAGATGGCAGGCTCAGCAGGGGAGGCAGTGCCAGCTCAGTGTGGCTTCTAGCTCTTCCGGGAGGATGCACGCTCCTGGGCCTGAGGAGTGCCGCCTGCTTTTTGGGGTCTTACTTTGAAAGTATGTCAGCAAGATTGATTTTCTACAACAATGTGAAAATGGTAGTGTTTTTTTAGTACTCTGAGTATTTACTCTGCTTTAACACGCTTACCCATCTTTTTAATGGTTTAAAACAACAAATCAATGAAAAATATATTTCATTCTTGTAACTCCTAGGAATTCTCATATTGATCTTCAGGCTGTGATTGTATCCATCTAAATGCCACAGTGCCCACTTATCAGCCGCCCCTCCCCATCCCCCGCACCAGGCGTGTGCCTGTGGCGCATGCACGCTCATGGGGCTGACCGTGACAGGCTCTGCGGCAGTTAGTGATACACCTTGTCAACATCGTGAGTAGAGGTGTTGGGGGTTTGAGGAGCTGAAGCTAGGGCATCCTGGTGCTGATGGAGCCTGGTGCAGGTTTCCCACCATGGGGGACCTGTCACACCCGAGTGGCTCTATCCTCCATGTTCAGCGGCCGGAACCTGAGAAAGGGCAGCAGGAGGCTTGCCAGGCATGTGGAGCAAGGGCAGGCAGATGATTCCTGCAAAGGGCCTATGGGCCTCCGGAGCTCCCAGGAGACCAGCTGCGTGTGTGGCCATGCGCCGGGAACACCATGCATGGAAAGTGGCCGGTCCGCTGAGCCCTGTGGTACAGCATAGGACTGGGCAGCCGCCTCCAGGTTAAGTCAGACTGCCCCTGCTGCCTGAAACAGTGCCAGCCCAGCCAAGACCTTCCTCAGGTCCTGCCTGAGTGCTGCCATGTCCCCTCTGGTTTTCTCTCTAAATGCAGTATTTGTGATCCGTGTTGAGGGGGGGTGCTGGGTGGAGCCGTCTGTTCAGCGGGACCATCTACACCATGAGTCTGTGTGCTCAGGAAGGGTGAGTCAGAGGATGTGTGTCAGTTTCTGGGCTCCTTCTGACCACCCTGTGGCCTGGAGATGCGGTCTGGGGACACTGAGGTCCCCTCGGGTCCTACTGCCTGGTGGTCCTGGCAGGTGTGCATGTGCACTCAAAGGGCTTCTTGGAGGCAGCGTCCCACATGCCTGTTGATTTGGACTTATCTGTGAGGTCCGCAAAGCCCACCATGGTGAGCCCCTGAGCTGCTTACCAGATGCACCGTGTCCCTCCTCGTGTGTCCATTCTTACTGAAATGTCATCCTGGCAACGCTGCCACCCCACTTTCTCTGGGTCCCCACTTGCAGCATAAGTCTACTCACACGTCTCTAGCGTCGTTTGTTTTAAGTGGGTCTCATGTGGCCCGCAAATCACTAAAAGTTTTGGAACTAATCAGCCTGCCTTTGAACTACTTTAATCCACATGATGAATGATCACTACGTTGTTAGATGTCTTAGGCACTTTGTCGCCACTTCTGTTGCTTTCTTCTTCTGACCTTTCATTTGCTAGGTTATTAAATCCATTTATTAAATATTAATAAAATTGTAAGAAAATTGATCTTTCTGAGGGTTGTCCCTCATTTTCGAAAGATTCATCCTCATGTTTCCTGCGCACAGTTGCTGTCATGGTGTAAGGACAACTGCACTGCCCTCCCTCCTGGCCTCCCCAGCCCAGCCCTGTGCTCACGCCTACATGCCTTGCACCACGCCCAAACTCACTTCCCTCCCTAACGGACTGATTACTTGATCTGAGAGTATTTTCAAAGCAGACCTCCTGGTGGTGCCAGAAGGAGTCTCATGCCCATGCAGCCCCTCATGGGCGTGGCCAGATGCTAGCAAGCTGGATGGAAAGCTGTAAGCATGAATGTCTTGTCCTTCAGTCTTCTCAGGACGAGCTCCAGAGATGGCACGTTCACCGTCACTGCTGATTCGCGTTCACCGTCACTGCTGATGCCGGTGTTGTCTGTGGTATCCACCTTTTCTTTGGAAGCTTTTTGGATCTTTCTCTTCATCCTTAATGTCCTTAAATTTCCTCATAACTTGACCATCCATTTTTTCTGTCCATTTCCTGACACTCAATGGGCTTTTTGCCCCATACCTGAGCTGTGAGAGAGCTCCCAGGGGTGCCCACCACTCAAGTGTGCCTCCACCTGTTTGGTACATCGTCACCGCAGGAGTGTGCAGCATGCCTGTGTGACGTCTCGTCCTCTGTCTGAGACACGTTGCTCAGTCTGTTTGTTTCCTTCTGGGTGGGTCAGTCCTTAAGCTGTGAGCCGTACTCAGCCCCCAGGCCCTCAGCTAGTTTGGAGGGGCAGGGATGGCGTGCCACTGGTCTCCTGATCTGTGTGCTGTGCAGCCCTGGAACCCTGGCTTATATGGTGACAGCACAGAGAGGGGCCAGCAGGGGTCAGGGAGGGTCTGGCTAGCAGAATTGAGGAATCTGCTTTCACCCTGTTCTGAGGACATGGGGACGGCCACGTGCCATGCAGGTGTCATGGGGAGACGCAGGCATCATGGCCCAACAGGTGCCACGTGGAGCATGGCTGTGGCTGTTGGAAGATTTGTTGCAAACACATGCAGTCAGTCCCATTGTGACAGCAGTGCCCCTGGGGGTCTGCCTGGAGTCTTGGGAACAGTGGCCAGAAACGACACATCTGTGTTCCAGGGCTGGAGAAAGAGCCAGCTGTGCGGAGCTTGCCAGCGAGGAAGAGGACAAGGAGGGACGAGGAGGCATGTGACCCCACCTCTGCTGCTGCCCAGCTGCATCAGCTGCGTGGACGCTTGCCCCCACCCCCAAGCCCCAGGTGACGTCCAGATGCCCTACCTCTGCCTGGAGCACTGACCTGCCTCCTGGCTGCGAGGCCCCTTTGGCTTCTGTGGAGGCAGCCCTGGGCATGTGCACCGGCCAGGCGAGCACCTGCTAACATCTGTGCCCACGGCAGGGGCTGCCAGCAGCATCAGGGGTCCTCGGAGCAGTGGCATGTCAGCCAGGGCACAAGAGAGGCTTGAGGCTGTGGGGTGTGAGGGACAGACGTCATAGCACCCCCAGGCCTGGCGTGAAGGCTAAAGATCCGAGACCAGCTCCTTGCACGGCTCCCTGGGGACAGGTGGGGCTGCCCTGGAGCCCAGGTCTAGGAAGAGCAAAGGACAAGAGGGAGAGGCAGGTGGCTGTGGCTGGCTTCTGGCATGCATGGTCAGTGTGTCCTGTTCTTGTGGCCTCTCCAGGGCACCTGTGGGACCAGAGGAGGCTGGGAAGCTGGCGGCAGAGCGATCCCGGGCACCTTTTGTGCCCTTTGGAGTGGACCTGTGCTATTGGGGCCAGGAGCAGCCAGTGGCTGGGAAGATCCTCAAGTGAGTGTGGTCGCATCTGGTTCCCATGGGTGCCCAGCCTGCTCCTTGCCTGTCCCCTGCCTGTGAACACACAACCAGGCACAAGAGGAGCATGAGGGCAGTTACCACGCACAGGCTCCCTAGAACTGTGCCCCAAAGTGGGATTTGGGACTTTCTCTGAACCTCTCTTTTGTTCCCTTGGTGAGATGTCCTGCTTCATCTCTTGGTATCTTGAGAGCTCTTAACTGACCCATCCTGCTCTGCCCCAGACTCTGGTGCCTCTGATGTCCACATGGGCCAGGCCTGGGGCTCTGCATGGACCTTCTGGGGACCCATCCCCTCGCTGTGCTGGGCTACATGCTCTCTGTGGGGCTGCAGATGGGAAGGGGGCACAGTTGCATCCCCTCAATCTGTCGGGACTGCGGCCCCTAGGTCAGCCCCCGTGGCCTAGCACTGCCTGTCCTCCTCCTAGACTGGGGGCAGCACTGGAGGCTGTGGGCAAGAGCAGACTCTAGAGACTTGGCTTGTAGCACCTCTGACAGGGTCCAGAAGTCTCTGCACTCTGCTCCTCCCCGGGGTGCCTGACGCCCTGTCCAGCAGCATCCCTGTGGCAGCTCTGAGAGTCTGATGTTGCAGGTGTGACTCTGAGCACCGCTTCTGGAAACCTAGCGAGGTAGACACAGAAGTGGACAGTGCTGATGTCTCAGAGATGCTGCAGAGCCGCTACATCACCTTTGCGGGGACATTTGAGCCTGTGCGGCACCGGTGCCGTGCCTTGAGGCCTGACGGCCAGCTCTGTGAGCGGCAGGACCGGCTAAAGGTGAGGTGGTGGCCAGGGCCAGTGGGGGCCACAGGCATGTGGGGATGGTCACCTTGGGGCCCAGCTGAGCCAGGACAGGGTGGCCAGGTAAAGTGCTGGGCTCTAGCCAGCCACTACCCTGGTCAGGCTCCTATCCCAGGGAGGGCTTGTCTGTGGCTGGCAGGTGTCGCTTAGCCACCACCTTGTGGCCAGGGTTGAGAGTCTGACATCCGGGACCTGGGCTGCTCTGCCCTGGTCACTGTGTCCCTGCTGTCCACTGTGCCTCCTGGGCCTGCTCTGCGCTGAGCCTGGGTGAGCAGTGTGGAGAGAGGTGGTTTTGGCCAGACCAGTGTGGGCCTACCCTCCATCACAGATGTACCCTGAGGGCTGTGGTCGGCAGAGACAGTGGGCAGCCCCCCATCCGGCCGCCAGAACTGCTCTTTCTTTGTTACAGTGCCCTTTCCATGGGAAGATCATCCCGAGAGATGATGCGGGACGGCCCCTCCATGAGGAAGATAGGACCCGTGAGCAGAGGCAGCAGCAGCAGAGGCAGGCGGGCCATGCAGGTAAGTGTGGAGCCTGGGGCAGGCAGGTGGGCCGCTGGGAGGGGATGGCCTGGGACCCTGTGTGTGGCCGCCTGCCACCTCTAGCATGGCTGTAAGTCACAGCAGCACCGCAGGGGACTCAGGCTTCTTGGTGGGCCATGTTTTCCTATAGCTGCCCCCAGGAGACACAGACACACGGCCAGAAACCACCATGTTATCTGTTGGAGGTTTGGGTTCTGGTTTCTGAATCACATTTTTAAGGAAATAAGGGGAACAGAGGTAAAAAAAATTACTGGCTGAAGCCTGCTCTCCAGACGGAAGAGCAGCTCGCTTCCTGCCAGATAGATATCTTCTGTGGTGCCTTGCCACGCCCTCCCCTCTGCAGAGCTCATGCTGCCAGTTGCCACCCTATAAGGCCCACCCTGGGCAGCACAGTGGGCTTTGGGGGTGTGTGTCTGGGCAGAAGCAAAGAGATCCCAGGCACATGTGCTGGGCACATGCCATATGCTGGCCACCTGATGTCAAAGGACCCCTGAACAGCAGGGCCGGGTGTCACCTGGAAGTGACTCCCTTTCTGGGTGCATGTGGACATGCTCAGAAGAGGGTGGATGCCCACCAGACCCTGGTCTGTCTCAGTGTCTCTGCCTGCATTAGGGTCTGGAAGCCTTGGCCACCTGGGGCTCTGTCTGCCCCAAGAAGCCAGGTTGCAGACCCAGAGCCCTGAGGAAGGGAAGGTGGCCTGCATGTGAGGGTCCCAGCCAGGCCGTGTTTGTGGTCATTAGTGGGTTTTTTCCCTTTGACAGATGTCAGATTTCAGGCTGACAGGGCGTCCGAGCCCCCGGGCCATGGATGGCGGCAGGGAGGGGCCAGTGACCTGCTAATCCGCGGGGCGAGGCCTGCCCTGGTGGCTCACACTCAGGAGCAAATTAAGTGCGTATTTTTTGTGTCAGCCCTGAAGAGTATCTGGTTCTGCAGCCCTCAGTGACTTGTTAACAACAGGTATCCGCGGGCCGGCGCTGGCCAGTCAGATGTGAAATAGCGTCTCTTTACTAACTACAGTATTGATCCCCGCCTCCCTCGCACGCGGGGCAATTTTCTTTTCCCTGGGCTAACCTCGGTGACAATGCGCGCCGAGCTGCAGGCCCGCCAGCGCACAGGAAGGCCACGCGGCCCCGCCATCTATTGATTTTCTTCAAAGGCTTTTAAATTGCTCCTTCATTTTACTGAGATGCTCATTCCATCTCTACCGGGCGCCGGTATTTTTCCGTGGTGTTTAAACAATTGCTGCATTCACTGAGCTCCTAAACTGTGGCGCCTTCTTATTATGGGAGATAAACTGTTTAGACAGTTTTCCTTAATCTGGGATTAATCATTCCTGGGACTGAATCGTGCGGCCCTGCACTCCCTCACTTCAAAAAAATCAACCTGGGGAGGCCTCACCATCTATCTGTGTGGGGCACGCATCCTGGCCCCTTGGACCCTGGCCGCAGGCTTCCCGTGGGCCGGTGGCCGCCACTGGTGTGTGGGGTGCCAAGCAGCCTTCCACAAGCCAGGGTCACTGTCCATGGGTCTGGGCACATGAGGGTGGCTGTGCTGTCACTCCTGAGCGGTATGGCACTCTGTCTCCTGGACCTCGACTCCACCTGTTAGAGGGAGTCCAGCCCCAACCAGGGTTGGGCAGAGGAGGCCAAGCCAGGGCCACAGCAGGGCCCATCGAACCCAGGGCTGGGAGCCCCAGAAAATCAGGCCGTGAACCCTCTCCTCAGTCCCCACAGAGGTACAGCCCCAGGCTGGCCAGGCCACGCCCTGTGGGACCTGGAGCCCTGTCTCCTGCCACCTTGCCAGAGCTCACCATGGCTGACCGTGTGCAGCAGGAAAAGCAGAGCTATCTGGGTGAAGTGACCCCCTCTTGCTGAAGCCTGTTGTTAAGTTCTCTTTGGGCCAATAAAAAAAAACTTGGCCCGTCCTGACCCCTTGGTTGTGGCCGCCCCTGCTACACACAAACAGCAGGCAGCCGTAATTGGGGGCCAGTGGGGCCCAGTACAGGTGTGGCCGGGAGGTAGCCTGCATGTGGCACTGCCCCCCAGCTACCAGCCTCCACTGCCTTCCTGCCAGAAGGGTCAGTGGGTGTACCCAGCACCTTCCTGGCCTCTGTGGGCACAGGGGCCCGTGGGGCACAGGATGGTGGGGGACTCAGCCTTAGATGCCTGCCCCCTTTGTCACTGGCCAGCAGTGGGCACTCTGAGCTGCCCTCAAGGCAAGGAGGGATCAGGAGTTTCTTTAAATCTTGGGGTCTCTTGGCAGACTGGCAGGACCCTGAGTTTATGAGAGATGTGGAGGCCGCCACGGGAGTGGACCTTGGCTCGTCTCGGTCCAGCGGGAGAGGCAAGGGCAAGCGGAGGAAGCATCCCGGCCTTGCCGACCTGAAGCAGCAGGCCGACACTGCCCGCGCACGCATCGCCAAGAAGGTGTTTGCTAAGTAAGGGCTGCATGCAGCATTCCTGCCCCCCCACGCCAGGATTTGGGGGTGCTGCAGTGGGCTGGCCGAGCTCTCTAACACCGCACCGTGAAGGTCCGGGGCCCGAGACCTTAACTCCTCTCTGCTACGCCTTTCTCCCTGTGACTGCTGGGTCCCCAGGCAAGATGGGTGCTCCTGGTCAGCAGGGGGCAGGGGGCCAGTCAGGAGCAGAGCCCGGAGCTGGTCACCCTGAAGCTGATAGATGAATGTCTTCTCTAGTAGGCAGAGGCGGGGCGGGGGGGCGGGTCACTGACCAGCACACCATCATTTCCTGGGGATGAGGTGAGGCCTCCATGGTGACTGCTGGCACTGAGCCAGCTCCATGTCTCTACTTTGCCCAGCTGACCTGGAAGGACTCTTGTGGCCTGTGGGCAGGGGAGTCACCTCCAAGGCTGGTGTGATGGGAGGCACCATGCAGGTCTCCACTCCATCAGAGCTTGGCCAGTGCTATGAGGGAGGTGGGTCAGGGATGGGGCATCTCTGCAGCACAGCTGGACCTGCCTGGTGGCTATGGCTGGGACTTGGCAGGGCCAGAGTAGGAGGGTCACCCATCAGCACCACTGTCACTGCCTTCCCGCCACTGTGGCTGGCCAGATGAGTCTTGCATGCACAGGTATTGCCAGAGGCTTTGGGGCACTTGTTTAGGAAGCACCTGCGGGTCTCTTGGGTACCATCAGGCCACCCAGGGGGGCAGCCTTCTTCAGCAGACCCCTAGAAGGTGTTCAGCTCAGTGTAGTGGGTGAAGGAGGCTCTTCTCCTCTCTTGGCCAGCATTGCCAGGTATTTGGCCTGAGTGGGGTTGGACAGGAGGGTGGCTTTCTCTGTGCCCACATAGAGTCCCCAGGGGCTGTGGGGAGTGGCTCCTCATTGCGCCTTCGCGTGAGTCGGCATCCTGAGGACAGTGTGGCTCCCCACGCTCCAGGCACAAGTCTGGCTTCCTGTAGATCCACCAGGGGTAGAAGGCACCCTGGGTGGGTGTTGATGCCCAGAGTGCTGGCCAAGGGACCTCTGTGCCCGGCCTCCTCTCTCCATCCTCAGAAGGGCCTTCGTGCTGGCTTCGTGGCAGCAGCTTTATTGCCTAGAACTTGTCCTGTGGGAGGGCCACAGGTGACCATGCCCTTCGTAAGGTAGCAGAACCCCTGGGATGCACCCAGCAGTCACACAAGCACTGGGGGCTGCAGGGCACCACTGCTTGGTGGCCTCAGTGGCTTCCTCCTGAGCACAGAGCCCAGGCACTCGGGCAGTGAGACTCACTTGACTTGCCCATCTGTGCTTTTTGCTGCATATCCTGCACTGTTGCCCCATGGCTGTGCCGTGAGGCGCTGTGCATGTGGCTGGGCAAGAACAAGCTGGGAAGGATCCAGATCTGGTGCTTCCTAATTGCATCTGCCCTCACACTGCTCCACGACAGGTTGCAGGGCAGGCTCTGCCTTTATCCTGGGGTGTGGCCTGGTGCTGGTGAGATTTGGGGTCTAGGGAGCCCACAGGATTAGTGCCAGGACTGCTCTTAGGCTCTCTAAGCTGTGGCACCTTTAGTTGGAACCCAGAGCCCTGGCCAGACTTCCCTGATCATGTCTCACTTGCTTTCCCCACAGGGCAGCTATGCAGAGGGTGATCACAGCCATGAATCAGATGGACCGGAGGAAGCATGAGAAGTTTGCAAACCAGTTTAACTATGCGCTGAATTAGAGGGCCAGACGATGTTTGTGGTCTCCTCTGGCCATCAGCTCCTCTTCTCCCTTGGCTGGTGCACTAGGATGGGAAAACAGACACAGGACTGGGATGTAGCCACAGCCACCGTTGTTTTGTGTATTCAATATGAGAAAATAGTACAGATTCAAATTACAATGCCCCGCAGGTATGGACTGTCCCCTGCTGTGGCAGGCCATGGCCATCTAGTTATGGGTTCTGCCTGCCTGAGATCCTGGAGGTGACATAGGCAGCTGTGTCTCGGTGGGGCACCTTGCAAAGCCTATCCACTTGTGACATGCTTCAGAGTCAATGGCCCATGTGTGACCCCCCACTCCCAGCCCTTTCCCCAGGCAGTGGTCACTCACAGGGGCTCTAGGAAACCTCACACTTCATGTAAACACTGTTTTTAAGACAAACACAAAGGGAAGTGAGCCGTTCAGTGTTACACCTTGCATTTCCAGTGCACAAAGCATTTTGGTGACGGATCCGCATTAGAATGCCAACAACTACCTCACTGCTTTTGTTTTTTTTAAAAAATAGTTTTATTGAGATAGAACTCACACACCCTAGGATTCACACTTTTAAAGTGTACCACTTAGTGGATTAAGTACATTGTACAGCCTTGGACCACCTGGTTCTAGAACTTCCATCACCCCAGAAGAAAGCCTGTCCCACTCCTCCCTCCAGCCCCTGGCACCTCTTGTTTGTGGCTTTGCCCTTTCCAGGTGAACGGAATCCCAGCAATATGTGGTCTTTCATGTCTTCTGGGTTTTCCATGTCGTGGAATATGTCAGAGCCCCATGCCCTTTAGTGGTGCAGTGATGACACCCAGTGTGCGAGCACAGCACACTACTGTTCTGTTTCTCATGGACGGTTGGGTTCTCTCCACACCGTTTGGCTATTATGAATAATGCTTTTGTGAACATGTGTGTACAGACATACATGTCCATTTCTTTTTGGTTTACACCTAGAAGTGGAATTTCTGGTTCATTTGACAACTGTTTTGACTTTTGATGAACTGCCAAACTGTTCCAAAGGAGCTGCACCATTTTCCTTACATTCTCACCGCGGTGCGTGAGAGTTCCAATTTCTCCATATTTTTGTCAACACATGTTATTATCTGATTTAATTGTAGCCATCTTGGTGTGAAGTGGTATCCTGATTTGCATTAACTTGTATTTTCCTGATGACTAATGATATTATATTTTCATGTGCTTATTGGCCATTTGTGTATTTTTTTTTTGAGAAATAGCTATTCAGATCCTTTCCCATTTTCAATTGGATTGTTTTGAATTGTAAGAATTTTTCATATATCCTACACCCTTATATTGTTTGCAAATATTTTCTCCCATTCTGTCTTTTCCACTTTCTTGGTAGTACCATTCGAAGCACTAAGTTGTTAATTGTGTTGACATCCAGTATCTCTCTTTTCATTTGTTTCTTGTGCTTCTGGTGTCCTAAGCACCTGGCTTGGTCCTACATTTTCTTCTAAGAGTTTTATAGTTTTAGCTCTTAAATTTGGGTCTTTGATCCATTTTGAGTTAATTTTTGTATATGGCATGAGGTAGGGGACCAACTTCATTCTTTTGTGTGTGGATTCCACTTGTCCCGATGCCATCTGTTGACAAGTTCTTCTCCCCCCCCCCACCCCACTGATTATCTTGACATCTTTGCTGATCATCCGTTGGCCGTATATGCAAGAGTTTATTTCTGGATTCTCAGTTCTGTCCCACAGACCTGTATATCCTTACACCAGTGCTGCAGTGTCTTGGTTAATAGAGCCTTGTGGTGGGTTTTGAACCCTGGAAGTAAGTCCTCTAGCTTTGTTCTTTTTCAAGGTTGTTTTGGACATTCTGGGTCCTTTGCATTTCCAAATGAATTTTAGGATTGGGTTGTTAATTTCTACCAAAAGAGGGCAGCTGAGATTTTGATAGAAATTTTCTTGAGGGCAGCCTGGGTGGCTGGGCAGCCCAGGTGGCTCAGCGGTTTAGCGCCGCCTTCAGCCCAGGGCATGATCCTGGAGTCCTGGGATCGAGTTCCACGTCAGGCTCCCTTGTATGGAACCTGCTTCTCCCTCTGCCTGTTCTCTGCCTCTCTCTCTCTGTATGTCTTTCATGAATTAAAAAAAAAAATAAAATCTTTAAAAAAAATGAAATGATGGTGTGATTTTTGTCCTTTATGCTGTTGATATGGTGTATTATGTGAATCGTCCATATTTTGAACCACTCTTGCATTCATGGAATAAATCCCACTTGGTCATGAAATATAATTCTTTTTATTGCATTTGGGTTGCTAATATTTTTCAATTTCATTGACCTAATTGGCTAGTATTCTATTAAGGATTTTGTGTCTATATTCATAAGAGATAGTGTATACTTATGTCTTTGTCTGGCTTTGGTATCAGAGTAGTACTGGCCTCATAGTTGAGTTGGGAAGTATTCCTTCCTCTTCTGTATTTTAGAAGAGTTTATGAAGGATTTCTGTTAATTCTTTAAACATTTGCTGGTATTCACCAGTGAAGTCATTTGGTCCTGGACTTTTCCTTGTGAGTTTTTTTTTTTTTAACTAATTTGTTATCTTTACTTATCGTAGATCTGTTTAGATTTCCTGTTCTTCCTTGAGTCTGTTTCAGTAGTTTCTATATTTTTAGGAATTTGTCCATTGCATATAGGTTTTTGGTTGTGATTTGTTGACATAGAGTTTATAGTATTCCTTGGTAATTCTTTTTATGTCTGTAAGGTTGCTGGCAATGTCTCTTCTTTCATTCCTGATCTTAGAAATCTGAATGTTCTCTCACTTTTTAAATTTTCTTGGCCAGTCTAGCTAAAGGCTTATCAGTTTTACTGATCTATTCAAAACCAAACTTTTGTTGATTTTTCTCTGTTTTTCATTGTTTTATTAGTTTCCACTCTAATCTTTATTACTTACTTTGGTTTGCCTTGGGTTTAGTTTTCTTTCTTTATAGTTTCTTAAGATAGAAGATTATCTTATTGATTTGAGGTCTAGCTTCTTTTTCATATAGGTGTTTACAACTGTAAGTTTTCATCTAAGCACTGCTTTAGCTTCATTGCATAAGTTTTGGATAT